GCAGACCTAGGCCTTGCTAAGCACCACTTGAGCAGGCTACCATTGAGATGACACTGACACTTAAGGCAGTACTTTGATGAAGTGCTACAATTTAAGCACATCTACACATGCTCAAGAGCATAAAGCAGAAACAGAAGGTTATCGGCTGGGTCCTAGAGAGGCTGAGGACCAAAAGAAACACAGGGACAGGCCTTTTCTCTTGCAGCTAAAAGCTACTCTAGTCTTTAGCCCAAAGAATTACTGGTCAGGGAAATTAGAGAAGCTGGAACTTCAGCAGCCCCTGCTGCCAACTGACATATACAATGCAGAAGCAGATCCTCAGATGGGTCTTGCATTACACACTCCCATGATATTCCATAGCTTTCTCACACTGACCAACAAATTTCTATTTGCTTGTGCACCTACCTACCTGAGGTACATAGCCTGTCTCCATCATGAGCAGATGAACCAGAACAATCAAGGCATCAGTGGCACTAGTACACTCAGCAGAAAGGTAGAGCATCTCCAAGGAATGGGGTATTTCACCATCAGCAGCTTCACTGCACAGCATGGGTTCCGAGGGATAGGAGCCTGTACCTTCTTCCAGGTCAACATCTTCTGGGACTAATCCAGAAGGAAATTCTAGGCTGGATCCTGCCTTCAGGAGAAAGGCAAAACATAACTTTGTTCAGAAAATTACACCTCTATATACATCAACATTTTACATCAACATTTTGCTTATTCCATTTCCCATGATTTCCCATACAAGTTGTACATACAAGATTCATTACACCTCCATTTTCCAGCGTTCCAGATGGGGACTGGGATTATACACATAGCCTCTGTATTTTTTTAATCTTTATAATACAAGTGCTTCATTAAAGGGTCTGTCATTTTATTGCATACACAAATCGAAGACAACATGGTAATACTATATTAAACCTTCAGAATCAGAATTTTTGCAACATACACAGGAATAATTTAATCACTGTAGTGAATTAATGATGAATTAATCATCATTAATTTGAATGTAGCCAACATGCATGGCAAGTAATCAAAATGGTAACTGGGACTGCCAACAAACACAACAGGCCTAAGTAGCAGGGAAAAAAAAAATCCACGGAGTGCATCTGCTGTCACTTAAGGAGGACTGTGGCTTTATTGTAACTTCCTTTCTTCTACAAAAATCATACTATGTTATTAAGTTAACTGACAAAACTACAGACACATTACAAAAATAAAAAAGTAGAAAAGGAAGGGTCATGAAAGAAAAAAAAAGAGCCTGATTCCAACAGGCAGTACCTGTTGCATCTGCTCAGTACCTAAAATCAGTTTCCTCAAGAAGACAGCACTGAGGCAGGTAAGAAACATAATCCTAATTTCCTTAGGAAAAGTGCATGTTCCAGCAAAAATATTCACTCCTGTAAAAACGTCAGACCTAAAACACTTTAAGCTCTCTGAATTAGCTTCTGTGCCACAGGTAATATACAATGAAGAGAGACAAATTTCCATTCAAATAACTGGATAAACATGGGACAGGTATTAGGAGCCAAATATTCTGAAGAGACTCTCTCCTATAGAGTACAGCAATTGACACAACAACATACCTTCTTTTTTGCCTTGTGCTGTACAGGACAATTCTCATCTACTTACCCTCTCATCACTCTTTCGAACTTCCTCCTGAGCTTTCTGGCTGTCAGATTGCTCATTCTGCCCTTCTTCTTTTGGACTGCTTGCCTCACTGTTGTTGGGGGTCAAGGTGGACGGCTCACGACCATTCTGAAGTGGGGGAGGAGGAGGAGTAGGAGTAGAAGGAGGAGGAGGTAGGCTGGGTTGCCCATCTGCTTCTTCTAGTAGTAAGCATATCAAATCACCAGAAACAACCCCGTACGAAGCTAAGGTCTTCTGATCCTCTGTGAGAGCATCTTTTCTGTTCAATGTTATTGAAAACTTGGTATCAGAACTGAAAAATAAAAGTAAAAAAAAAAAAGTAAGGAAACATGGTTGGCTGCACGTGGGTAACTGCATACAGAGGTCTATATGACTGGACATGGCACTTAGTGCTATGGTGCAGCTGACATGGTGGTGGTCAGACAAAGGCTGGACTTGATGATCCTGGAGGCCTTTTCCAACCTTAATGATTCCACGATTCTATAGTTAGAAATGCATACTCCGTCTTACAATAGTACTATGCCATGGGGTTTAATCCATTAATAATGAGCTATATATTAGAGAAAAAGTGAGGGCGAAAAAAATGCATGAAATTATTTCCCCCATGTTTCTCTCCAGGTACATTTTAAGTAGCTGCAGCCACTTGGTAGATAAAACTTCATTTACAGAAATTTCTCATTAAAAAGTTACAAGCAAATGCAAACAAATGCCCTTCAAATTCAAAGATATCACACCTAGGGAAACAAGCTTTAAATAAACTAGTGGTTGAGATTATTTAAAAATAAATAGCGCTGAAGACTCAACCATCTTGCTTTCTCATGAAGCAAAGCATTACTTTCAAAGATCAGCAGCTGTCATACAGGATGGTAGTCGTAAATGAGGGTAATAAGAAAAGATGCTTCAGGGTAAGCACGTATGAAAAAAAAAATAAATAGAAATGAAACTGGTTAGCAGGGAAGCAGCTACCCAGCTTCAGCTATAAAATACACCCACTGTAGCAAGACAAGCAGCAACTTCAGATTCCTCCTGCCCACGTCACACGTGAATCACCAGTGAAACACCAGTACATCGGACCTAATTAGAGGTTTGCGGTACAAACCCTTCAGCCACCGCCAGAAAAATCCCCTTTTGTAGGCGATTCTTAAATTGGTTCTGCAGACTTCACCCTCCTACAGAGTATGCCGTGAGTTCTTCACAGATAAAACGTTTCCGAAATTTAAACCCGGGGACTCTCCAGGAAGCCTGAGGGAACTGTAAAACTGACACCCTGCACCCGCTGTGTAACGAAAGGGCCACGCACAAACCCCAGTCAGCTCTGACTGAGTTGCGGATTCGCATTTCGCAGCCGAGCACGCCCGAAGTTTTGCTCTCCCGTTCCGCAGCGACCAGCCGGGAAGCAGCACGCGTCCCGGGCGCTGCAGGAGCCGGGGCAGCCCACCCCCGTGCGAGAGGAAAAGCCCTCAGACCAGGAAGACTTTAATCCCCCGGGACGCGCTCTCCGGCACGGCCGCGCCCGACCGGCAGGGGGCACCACCGCGCCCGGGGGGTCGCGGGGGCAGATCCCCCTCCCCTCCCCTCCCCTCCCCCTCGCGTGGTACGGCCCCGTCGCCCCCCCCGGGCCCCCCAATGGTTTGGTCCACACGGTACCTGTACCCCCAGGCGGGCAGGAGGGCCGCGCGCAGCTGCGCGCGCAGCTCTCCCAGCGTTGGCTCCGCCCCCGGCAGCTCCAGGGCCGCCGTTCGCTTCTGCAGCCGCACGCGGAGCTTCATCGCGGCGGCGGCGCCACCGGGGGATGGGGGAGGGTGTCTCCGCTCCCCCCTCGCGCCCCGAGCGGGCCCCGCCGGGCGGCGGCGGCGGCAGTAGGGAAGGTGGCGGCAAGGCGCGAGCGCAAGGGCTGCCGGGCCGGGCCGCGCCGTTGTTTTGGTTGTCGCGGCACCGCCTCAGCCCGGCCCCGGCCCCGCCCTCGATCGCTGCCTCGGCGTGCTGCGCTCTGACCTGCGCGGCGGCGGCGGCCCCGCCCGGCCGCGATCGATGATTGGGCGTTCGGCTGCGCGCGCGCCCCCGCAGGCGATGTGGGGGTAGCTGCCATTGCTGGAGGTGCGCCCCCGGCGATGGCTGTAGGCGCCGGTCCGTCCGCCGCAGACCCTACCCTGCCACTGACGGGAGTGATTCCTGCGACCTGGCTGCCCTCCTCCTCCTCAGTGTAACACCGGGTCAGATGGTGTTACAGAATCACGGAATCAACTAGGTTGGAATCCTCTGAGATCATCGAGTCCAACCTGTGACTGAACACCACCTTGTCTACTAGACCATGGCACTAAGTGCCATGTCCAGTCTTTTCTTAGACACCTCCATGGACAGTGACTCCACCACCTCCCTGGGCAACCCATTCCAATGTCCAGTCACTCTTTCTGTGTAGAACTTCTTCCTAATGTCCAACCTAAACCTCCTCTGGCACAGCTTAAGACTGTGCCCTCTTGTCCTGCTGCTGGTTGCCTGGGAGAAGAGACCGACCCCCACCTGGCAACAACCTCCCCTCAGGTAGTTGTAGAGAGTGATGAAATCTCCCCTGAGCCTCCTCTCCAGGCTAAACAGCCCCAGCTCCCACAGCTGCTCCTCATCGGACTTGTCATCCAGTGCCTTCACCAACCTTGTTGCCCTTCTTTGGACATGCTCCAGCACCTCAATATCCTTCCTAAATTGTTCTGAAGCCAAAAATGCCAGCGAAAGCCTGGTGCTGGCTGCATGTCAAGCTGTTGGCAAGGCTCATGGAAATGCATAAGGGGAAGGGCTGAAGGAGGATGCTGCCCGTGAGACTGTTTAGTTTTATAAAGAAACCTGACTTTTCTAGACCAGCCTACGGAGTTGTCATCTCAGAAGTGGTGTTACAACACCTTTGGTCAAATAACCTCACCGGAAGTATTAAGTGTTACAAACTGAAGTTTAGTGGCTCTAGGTCACCTGTCAAACATGGGAGAAAATCCCTTCCCTACATCTTGGATCTCTACAAAAAGTACTCTCAGGTTTATCTGGAAATAAACACTCTACTACTAAGAGTACTAGTAGTAGTAGTAGTAGTTAGTACTACTAAATATAATGTCGATTGGGGGAATAATGTAAAAGGCACAATTTATTTAAGTTTTCACTTTGTTTAATGAATTACGCTGAATTCAAAAAGCAGTGAATTCAGAGGTAACTTGGAAAAATGCATATTCTCAGATCATCTTGGGTTTTTTTCTAATGATAAAATTTACTTACATTTCTCCATACAAAGAATAATACGAGAAATGTGAGGTGCAGGAAAACTGGGATACTTTCTAGAAGTATAATACTTAAATAATAAGAGAAATCCAAAGACCTAGCTTGCACAGCTATCACAAAATACAACTGCTTATTAGAGCCTTATTCACATTGCTTAACCCTATAGAAACAACCCTACTTGTGTACTTTCAGCACTTAGAGAGCCAGTCAGAAAAAGGACACTGAAACTTCAAAAATTCTCTTTTGGGCTACAGGTGAAATTTCCTTTATGCCGTCTGAACATGGTCATCCAACCCAGGAAAATGTGGTTGCTAAATTTTCATTTTAGAGTTCACTGTCAGATACCTCTCAAACTGAAGGGCAACCATCATCTTTTTTCAACATGTCAATAAATTTCTCAGTGGAAAGGTGATGAAAGGAAAGGCAAGGAGTCTACTGAGGTGGAACACCACTCATTGAGCAATGGAAGAGCTGATGCTCGTTACAGTCAGCTCAGTGTAACTTATCAGGCCCTCAGTGACAAACATTAAAACAAGTGATTTCCTGAGAACCTGCACCCTTTGCCACCCCCCCTTTTTGGAGGAGTGCTTAGGCTGTCATCATCAAATGGGGTCACATCCTGGATAAATCCAGAAGAGCGGGTTGATGGAGCAGAGGGGGATGAGAATGGAATTGGCAAGAAGGGTAGAAAGGACTGTGCCTGTCAGAAACTCTGCTCTCTCTGAAGAAGGTTGAATCCAAAGTGAGTCATGCTGCTGCCTCAACCATTTTCCATTGGCCATGAATGTCCTGCTGTGTTTCATTCTTTAGAGCTATCCCGTCCCAACCACATGCTGTTATCCCACTGGCTCCAGGGCATTTTAGTCTATGCTCTTTTGAAAGGGTGGAGGAGGCTTCTCTTCTTTGGGAAATGTCCCTGGCTACAGTTGTGGTGCTGCCAGCAGAACCACCATTTCAGTAACTTGCACAAGCTGAAGTGATTGTGTGGCTCAGAGGCTGGCTATACTCACTGTTAGGTAACCAGCTACATGAGTTCCAAGTGAGCATTTCTGCTGCCATTCTGTGAATTTTTCCTTTGAATTTTATGACTCATGCCATAATGTAAGGTTTAAACGCGTTTTCCACACAGCACTATTAAACAGGAAAACCTAGGAGACAACTAGGATGAAAGGCTAAAACATTTTCCTCAGCTTTCAAGTCTGGAAAATTTCAAATGACTCAACATTACCATTATTTTTTCCCCTCACACGTCATTCCAGAAGAAAGGGCTATTATTTGATGAGGTACAGTTTTTCTCCACCATTTTAATTTTGTCTCAGTCTGCAGACAAAAGATTTTCAATGGCCACATATGACATCGACCTCAGGCTGGGAAGGGCACATGCAAAACAGTACAGGAAACCTGTGTGCTTAAAACCTTGAAAAAATGGTTGTGTAAAGAAGAATTTTGACTTTCAGTATAGTTCACTCTTATCAGAAATTGTGAATTATTTTTAAGTAATTCCTTAAGATAATACACAGTATGATGACAAAAGAAAGCTCCTTGTCAGTAGTTTAGAATGGTTGTTAAAGACAATGTGGTTTCTCTACTCAAAGGATTTTATTGAGGATTTTTCTTCCCCACATGATCAGTGTGAAACACAAGCAATAGAACTTGTTCCACCAAAGCAGTAAAATCCTACTGATAGCCCTAGTGGGTTCTCTTGAGAAACTTGAAACTTTAAGCTGTAGTACTGTTGACCTAGTCCTGTGGCAGAGGAGAACTATAAAGAGTAATGGTCTCTTTGGTTCAGTTACATACCTCATGGAAATATTTTATTTTCCTGAAAGTTGAGTGTGGTAATAAAGCTGTGAGACACTGTACCTTTTCCATTATTTTTCTTTATGTATTTGCCACTACAAAGAATGTGTTTTATAATACATATAAGTAAATATGTATGTGTGTATATGTTAAACCTTATGATACACGTATTTTGAATGACAAGGGTCGCACTGAAACCTGTGAAAGAGGGCAGAATGCGAAGAAGGGTATGAAGGCTAGAGTATCATCAGGAGGTCTGTGAAAGTCTGAAGTGGCATTTTAAGTGTACCAATGGAGGAGGAGGTTCAAATCAAAGCTAGTGGAGAGAACCTCCTAACTTCTTACAGCTTGCTAGTGGTCAGCTTTGCTCCTAAAAAATATTTTAAAGCCTGTTGTGCTGATGCTCTGTAGCCAATACATTTAGTGGAGCTCTGCTTTACACTGTCTCAGATTGGTTGAATACAGATGACTCTTAAGCAATGTCCGGAGTTTGCTCATGTAGCTCTTAACTGCACTGTTTCTGATCTTGATCTGTTAAAATCTTGATCACAGGGAGCAGACTTCAGTGGGTTTTCTGGAGTTTGCCAGATTGCTTCAGACCTTTTTAGCTACAACTGCATTTTCTTGGATTTACATATTTTTAAACAGTATTAAATTGCTGGGAGTTATGTGCACTCCGAGATGAGAGTTTGATATCTTTGCATTAGCAGACAAAAATGACATTTCTCTGGGTAGTAAAAAGAGGCTCAGGTTTTTCCTAGGGAGGTTACTGCACCCACCTTCTAGGAATCTTACAGGACTGCAATTTGTGTGAAACCAGGGTGGTAGTTGCCGAGGCTGAGAGAGTTCCTCATGCTACTGTCAGCTCCATGAAAGTAACAGAATGGTTCGACAAGACTCTAAGAGTGAGCCAAACAACTGGGAGAGAAGGAAGCTTAGAACAGAACTATGCAAATGATGGACTCGGGTCTGAATCTGGGCAATTCAGATTCCAGAGAAATAAGGCCTGCTGCATTTCTGCTCAAGGTCTCAATATATCTTCCTTTTCTACTGTCTCTTGGGAACCAGCTTAAATGCACCCTTACAGTTCTTAGCTGTGAGGGCAGCGTGCAGGGCAGCGCTAGAACAAGGACACTGATTTTTGTTTCACTAAATGGTCTTTGGTAAAAATGAACCTTGTGGTCCTGGCGCAAGTGCAAGGATAAGGCAGTTACAGAGGTCAGCAAAATTAACTCAGTGGATCCAAATAGTGACGATGGTTTTTTCCATCAGCTCATCAGACAACTGCCTCCCAACATTGTTATCCATTGTTAATGGAATCTGTGTAGGCATTGCAGCTATGCTATTTATTTTGCAGCCTGACACAGATTAATAGTTCTCTGGCAATCCTGCTCCAAGGTTTTCAAAGCGTTTATGAAGGGCATCAGTAGTCAAGCCACGCTCAGGAAAAGCTGTGGTAACACAAAGCTTTTGCAAAGCCTCCGAAAAATCAGGGGGTGTCCCAGACATACTCACAGATACAACCTGTGGGGGCAGGGGCGGCCGTTGCCTCCTGTGGATTCTGTTGGAAGATTTCATTGAGCTACATCATGGGCTGTCTCATGAGCTGGGAAGTGGATAGCATTGCTTTCCACACTGAATGGAGGAAATCACGAACAGGAACTTATTGGAGGTTTTCTCATTCAGTGGGTATTTCCAGTAGTTGTGGAGAGAGATCATCTGCTTTCATGCCATTTAACAAACTCCCATCTGTGTCAATTGCTGTTTTCTTTAAGCATTCCTTCCAATATGTCTCTCCTATCAACCATATTAGCTTTGTATTCCTTTTCCCTCAAGAGGTGATTCTCCATATGGAATATCAGTGTGTTGAAAGGGTTAAAATCTTGAGGCTAGTGAGTCCTTTTTGCTTTGACATTGTTGAGTGAGCTGCAGAAACCCTACCTGTTGTTGAACATGCTGCAGAGTAACTAGAGACAATGGAGCAAGGGAGAAACTGAAAAATCCAGTCCCAGTTCTGTGATAACAGCAGAGATATTTTGGAAACTAAAGTGCTCTTTCTGGACCTCAGGTTGGGTAGACACTATATTTTCTATTGTGTTTGAGAACTGTTTGTCTTGGGTTTGTTAACTACTGGGGTAACTAAATTTTTCAAAGGGAAAGAAATTCTTCTGTGGGCTGTATATTGGAGAGTTTTGTGCAGGACCAAGGCAAGATAAGGACAAAATTCCTTTTTAAAGATACTCTGTTGCATTTCAGAGGATGGTCAGTTTAAGCTAGTGTGTTTTTATGGCTGTGTTAAACCTCTACAAGACAACTACAGTGGGATTTTTTGTTTGTGTGGGTTTTGGTTTTCTGTTTTGTTTAGTTTTGGTTTTTTTACTTCAGGAGCTTGCTTAAGTTCCTAGGTGGATTTCAGCTGTAATCTTTATTGCAAGTTTTATTTAAAGTTTTTATAGATTGTTCACAAAGGAGAAACCAGATGTATCTACAGACTGTTAGGCAGAGTACTTCATTAGGGTGAGATGGGTACACAATCTGAAACAAAGGACTTCATCTTTTTTCTCTACTTCAAGTACTTGAATGCACTATCTCTGAGAAGACAAAAGAATTAAGATAATTATTTACATACAGAAATTGGTCTATGCCTGCTCAGTTACTGAAGATAAATATCAGGGCAATTTGTCTGACATCTATTGTCCTTGGCAATACAATTGGCAGCTCTCATTTAGTCTATCAGGCAGCTGACAAGTTCCTTCTCCTCAGGTCTGCCTGCCTCAGTCATCTGACTGACCTTGTACAATCGATCCTGGCATCTGAGAGAGGCTCAGGGCTTGGATGAAGCCAAGAATATCAGCCTTGCAGTGCAAAAATAAAGCTTGTTGGTGTGAGTAAGCAATATGAAATGATACTGCCTTTTATTCCCAGGGCAGTTCCATTGTTTGTTCTTTCAGCTTCTCACTCAACATCCATTTAAGATCCAAACAAGAACATACCAAAGTACAAGTACAAAGCACAGTAATGACCAAGATTGCTGTTTTCTGTTCCTCAATGTGAATGAAATGCAGTGGGAATGAGGTACCTCATCTGCATCGATGCTTCTAGCAATCCTGCTGGATAAATATCTAGGAAATATCTATGTACTTTAATGATAGAAAAATCTGTCTTTCTGGTTTTACACTGATTTTTAATTGATCCTTATTAATCAGGATTGAAGGTGGCATGTTTGCAGGAAAAGCTGGGACAGTTTTTGGAAAGAGTTTAAGTTTTGTGACTTCAGCAGGCTGTTGTGCATAATATTACATTGCTACCTTAAAGTATTTATTTTGAGTTGCTTAAAATAGACAAAACCAAAAAGGCATAAGAACTAGAGATGGAATGACCAATTAAAGGGGGCATTTTCAAAATTTGTCCCAGTGTGGATTATGTATTCAGAATGTTTTTTCCCTGAAAACACTTTTTCTTGCATAGTATCTTGGGATAACTTTGAAAGGATTCCTCAGAGAACCGACATCAGGGCAATATTGAAAATACATTTTGTCAATCTTACAGTGCAGAAACCACCAAAGAGCAGTTTTTCATGAGTTACTGAGCAGAACATAGATTTTCAACCATTTACAGTCTGACCTGATAATATTAATTACAACACCAAAAAGTAAGACATAAGTAGAAGAAGAAGGTAGAAGTAAGACTACCAAAGGGTGGTGGGGTGTGGGGTTTTTTTGGTGAAGAGGAGGGTTTTTTCTTGTTTTAATTTCATTTACATGTGTTCTGCCAGATTATGGAATAGAGTGTCCAAGACAATATGATATTTATTAGAAATCCGAGAATGACTCTATAGGCTGCTGGGAAACTAGCAAGACCTTTTGCTACTTATGAATTAGTATGGTTTGTACATAGGCAGGTACCATGATCCCAATCAGATGTGCACATCCAGAAAAGGATGTGTCACTCCCCTCCGTGGCTGGAGTAGAGTTACTGTAGGTCCCTAATAAAGAGTTTTGTAATGCAGCACTGTGAAGACTTGAAGCTGTCTTGAGAAACAGTATCGTTATTTCTAGGAAATTGAGCAGTGGCTGTCATTGGTAGTGAATATTGGGATGAATGCAAGAATTTTGAACAAAGAAACCTTACTTTTGTACTGGACTGTGTCACAGAAAGATACAATTTGTCTCAGCTTTTGTGAATCTGTGTTGTGTGGTTATGTCTCACCATGCAGTGGCTCACAGTCTTGCTTTGCACTGCTGCAGGCTCGTGCTAGGACACCTTTCTCTACTCCTGTGTGATGTTCATTCTGCAGGAGGAAGGACAGATGGTAACATTAAACAGCCAAGACATGCGTGTGGGGAAAGGATAGAGTAGTGGAGCAGAACCATTCAGTCTCACCAATAGCTAATATCTGCCAAAGTGATATCCAAGGACTCAGAAATATGTGCCTGCTCCTACGCTGACTGCTCCGTGCAATAAAATCATAGGCTAAACCTCTCTTGCCTATCCACCCTTGTCCCTGTTTCATTGAGGGAAGTCATGGATACAGATTTTTTGCAATTCATGGTATGTATCATTTATGAAAATGTTTGTATCGTAAATGTTGTTAACAGATCCCTGTGACAAAGGTGAGAAGATGCTAAAGACATGGTATTTTGTCCTGCTCTGTTGGCTGTCCTTGCGGCTTGAAGCTAATCCTGGTCTTAAAGTGAGGATTACTCAGAAGGGGCTGGACTATGGTATGTCTAACATTGCCAGAAGTTAATTTATCATAAATACTCTATGTAAAGAATATAGTTGCTTAATAAAGGTTCAGTTTTATTTAAGGAACAAGCTCCTTAAATATTGAAGTAGAGTAAATTCCTTTTGTCACCTCACACCAGGAATACCCTTTGTCTCTTCTCTCACTTATTTCCTTTTTTTTTCTGTGTATCCCAGGTGTGAATTTATCTTTGATTGGTGACTGCATTCTCCTACAGTCCAGCCATCTTTCTACTACATCCTTCATATTGATATACTTTTTAAGAACCATAATTAGAAAGTCATATAATTGCTTCTTTTTTTAAAAAGTGTCAAACTCCTGACTTAAAGTGCAATATTTAATTGAAGATAGTAAGACACAATTGGGACAAAAAGCTTACAATCTTGGAACAGCCACATAGCCACCTTTACTCTCATTCCTCAATTTGACATGGCATAGCACTTGCATGTGCCATTCTTCAAAAAAAATCTAGTGACTGTCATAATTCTGCCCCTTAAACAGGATATTGGCAATTTCCACAATATATTTTCCTTTCTATTCATGCTAACTTTCACTGTCTCCTACCTAAGACTTACTCCATGGGTGTGGAGGGCATGTGGTACAATTTCAATTGTTTACAGAATTAATATTAATAATACAGGTTAACAAGGCACAAATTCAACAAAGGCTGGGTCATGCTAAGGATTAATCGTCATTTATGTACTGAACATGCTGACAGGTAAACAATGGACTTGTGAGATGAAAAGTAGAAGCTCGGGGTTCATGTCTTCGAGATGAAAGCAAGGATCAGGTCCACTTATTTTGTTGTATGAATATTGTTTTAAAGGCTTTTGAGGAGTTGAAAAGTGCAGGGCAAGCATCAGTCACCCAAACCAGTATTGACATCCCTTGCTTCCTAGGGATCTCTCATGCCTTTAGAAATGAGAATTCAGCCTGGTGTTTCTCAGTGTGAGCCCAGCAGTTTTTGTGACGATTAGCATAGTCTTCTGAGCACTGAATGAACAGACTAAGTTGGCACACCCCTGCATTAGTAGTAAGAACAGACATTAGCAGACCTCCTCCCAAAGGTATTTCTCGTATTTGAAGAGCTTAGTGCCTGACACATCCTCTCTTAATGTGAGATTTGAAGGCTGAGGCAATAGATCCTGCTGCGTGCTTCTTGCCTGTTGCAAGAACCTTGAGAGGAATTTCACCTGGGATCACTGGCTGACTTCACTGACAGTTGTAAGAGAGCTTTAAGTTATTTCAGTGAGAGCCCATATTTTGCTTTGGAGACAGGAATTCCCAGGGAATCATAACTTACTTCTCCTTCATGAAAGATGCATTTTATGAAAAGGTATTCCAGTGTTGAGTTATCACAAATTTCAGTTCCTTGCTTTTTTAATACTATAGAGCCTAGTGGAGAAAAAAAATCCAGATATTTTCTAGTCAGCAATTGTGAGGCCAAAAGCTAAAGAAATTCATGGTAAAAACCTCTAAAAGCAGGATATCATTCAGTATTAAAATTTCAGTTTTGTCTTAATCCAAGATGAGTGAAAAAAAGGAAGACACAAGGAATCTGGAATTTAAAGATGCTCTGTTTGGTCATAATAGGGTCTGTGTGTATTATCATTGCACAAGTAGCATTGAAACATTCAAGAAATTATAGATTCCTAAAAGTAAGGGAAGCAGGTAAAATAAGTCAGAGATCTGTTGCAAGCTTTAATGGTTAAGGTGCACTGGCAAAATATATGTACTGTGAAAGAAATGGGAAGAAAACATTTAAAAGGATTGTTTTTCAACCTCAAACAACTTCCTGTACACAAGCAACAATCCAGATAGTTCTGCATTTGACATACCAGCACTTCAGATGCATATATCACACTTTTTCCATAAGTAAACACTACATATAGAAGTCACCTTTCTACTTTATAACTGGCTTTTTCATCCAACAGGGATGAGACAATCTGAGGTAAAGGTGATGACCAAGAATTTTCCAAGCTATCCACATTGTGAGTGAAGTGAAGGAAGTATAACAGTTTCAGAAATCTGACAGGAGTTCTAGAAGATGAAATACAACTCAGGGACAAGATGATACTAACAGATATTTTTGATCTTGGGTTAAATGGTTTGTATGTGAGGCTAAGAGAAGTTATAAATGCATATATATACATAGTTGGAAGGAGATCTAGGTAAGGATCATAGAATCAAAGTGTTTCAAGAACTGTGTTAAAAGTGATGATTAAATTATTTGGCAGTATATCTGGACCTTTGGATGCCAGAATCCAATCTGCAAGGCATATGCTTTCCTATGTCCCCTTGTAGGCAGGAGGATTGGGATGGAGCTCATGAAGCAAGCAGTATTGAAAGAGACCTTCCCAAGCTGGAGCGGGCAGGAGAGTTTGTCAGTTGTTAAGGTCAACTATGTAATTTCCAGGTAAGTAAAAGAAATAAATGTCAAAGTTTTAGGATGAAGTAACTTATTATTACCACGTAGTAATAATTATGTAGCCACTGTTTTGTTCAGCATAAAATTTTAATGGTTTATCTAACTCTGCTTCCGCTGCCCAAACACTGACTTGTTTTAAAAGTACTTGTTCTACTACACTGAGAGATGAGCTTTATAAAGCTCCCGAAGGAGAACCTTGGCTGGTTTTTTTCAGTTGATTTGTATCAGAGTTTGGAGCAAGATAGGTGTAAGCATGGTTGTGACACAGCAGGGAAAATAGATGGGAAGGAAGGCAGAATTGGTGTTATTAACACTCTGCTATTATAAAGGACTTGTAGCGGTGAAAATAATTTGTTTTGTGTTTGATGAGAAAAAGCCAACAAAGGGATAAGATATATGCAGGGGGTGGTGTATGTGGGCTGATGTGGCAGGAAGAGGACTTCTGCTGAATCTTTTTGGATGAATTTACAATGGTAAATCACCATTTTGACTGGATAGCGCTTGACACCTACTAACTGTAAAGGAAAATCTTTGTACCAGGAGCAGCCAGTAGAGACACAGTTTTATAGAGTTTCCTACAAGTTCTCCAAATATGGAGACTAGTATGAAAGCAGGTTTTTCTACAGCCTTCAATCCCACCTTCCAATATGCTGCTCAGTAGCATTTTACTTCTTTGCAGGTTACCCAGAGGGAGAAATATCACTCTGAGAGACTTCATGTACTTTCTGCTGGATAGGGCCTGCATCCCTTTCCTAACATCCTGCTTTCTGCCAATTATTATACCATTTTTGCTATGCTGTCCTTGTGCCTTAGTCCCTGTACGTCTGAGAGAGTTTTGTTTGGAAAGGCTGGAGAAGAAGAGACTGTGGCAGTGGAGGTGCATGTGTCTTCCTGCATGTCTTCCACTGTCTGCTGGGTGTTGATTATAGAGAATATGGAGCCAGATTCTCCCAGGGGCACACAGTGAAAGGGTGATGGGCAAAAAGACATGCTACATCAAGAAAAGTAGAGAAGCTAGGAAAAAATGCTAGAGCACCAGAACAAGGGCTGAAAAGGCTGGGGAATCTGCATCCTTGGACTTGTTCAAGACTCAAGTGGGCCAGGGCCCTGAGTTGTCCCAGCTTTCAGTAGGAGGTTAAACCAGAAAAATCTCCTGAGGTCCCATTCCAACCTAAATTATTGTATGATCTTCAAAACCTTAATTCATTCCCCCAACCATAGGTCTTGAAATTGGCCACCATCCCAGTGGATAATCTGATTTTAGCTCTCTGCAAACGAGACAACTAAAGGCAGAGTTACTGCCCAAGATGTTATTGAAAAATTATGGTCATTTTAACTAAGGGTAGTTGGTGCCTTCTGCCCCAGGGAAAGCAGATTAAAGACAATTGTTTCAGAGATCTCTGCCAGATATCAAGAAACAATAAGGAATGTATACTACATGATAAGATTGCAGCTGATATCTTTACAATGTTCAGCTCAATTCAACACACCCATTTGAAGGACAATATGCTTGATTATCAGAAACATTTGTTTTGGAAGGGAAATATTCAAGTAAGATTTTGTTTAGAAAAATGGATGCTCTCCAGAGCCGTTTGCTTAGGCAAGGAAGCAGAATGTGGAAACAAAAACTTTGATGCTCTTCAGCAAATACAGCATTCAGACAACTTGGATTTATTTATAGATGTGGCATCTGGGATTAAACACAGATTTATTTTTTCCCCAACAAGGAGATTTTACTTTAAGGAGTTTTTTTTTCTCCCAAGGGGAGGTTTTTGTTTTGGGGGAAAAAAAAAACAACAACACAACAGCATGCCTGATATCAAGGATTCTTTTTCCAAGGATGCTGCGAGGTGAGGTGTAATGGTGCAAGTGTCTTTCTTTCCTAAAATATACAAGGGTCAGTCATTTCTGAGAAATTCTTTTACTGAAGCATAGACTTTGCCTTTTATAGCAGAAGGGTTTTCAGTGATCAGGAGTCCTTCTTACTCTTTTGGCATGCATTCTAATAATCCCTCTTTCTGTATTCTGTAGGCTTAGAATTAATGCTGTAGATTTCCCAGAAACTTCTGCTTCTTTTATTCCTGGCACTGGCATTTGTCTGTCAGTGGCACGGGCTTCTGCTACAATCAGCGCAGACTGGAGAATGAACGCATGGCTGCTGTAAGTATTGGACAGAGAGATGCAGGTGGGAGGGGGTGGTTCTGGGACATATACTGGGTATTATTTTTCAGGTCAGATATGCTGTATCACTTAACATCAGTCTAAGAACAATCTATTTGAATAAACTTATTAAGAAGGAAACATCCCCTGACAACTAATGCTTTTTCTTTTTTTAAATTATTCAACCCCACAGGTTGTCTCTGTGGAAAGTATCAGGTCAGACATCTGTTAGCATGCTCAATTTGTCCAGAGATGATATTACATGAATACTCAGGACCACAGAGTTTGCAATAGCCAACATTTGTTACTTTCTTTGTACAGTGTAGCTGGAAGGTTGACTCTATAGCTAATTATCCATGTGCTGGTACAGTGTATATTGCGTTTCAAAGAGCTCCTATTAAAGGAAGAGGACTGTCACAATGCCAAACATTCAGAACTTCAGAAAGTCCAAAATTTAGGTCGCTATGGAAAACTGGCATCTTCATAAGCCTGTGTAGTATGAGATTGGTTTTAATGACATGATTGCATACTGTTTTTTCCACTTTTTCTTATCTCAGCATTTTTGCCATGGAATTTTAATACAATAGTCTAGCTTTTCTTGGGAGTGTGGGAGGGCTAAAACTTCTGGGATATCAGAAAGTTTGCAAGGTGCTAATCTCTACAATTTGGGTTAACAGAGCAACTGGTAACAGCAGTAGGTGTTGCTCTATTGTGAGCCAGATAGCACAGCAAGGTGGATCACCAGGCTGCAAAGTTTCACAGCACGTCCTGATTTCAGAGGAGCATGGACATGCAGTTCTGCATTCAGTCTCAGTGAGACTGGTGGCTGTAAACTGCTGCTGTCACTGTGCCCCCAACCTCTCTGTTCTTTCTTCTATCATACGAGTATTATGAGGAAAAGGAGACTGTGTTCAGCAGGGCAAATCAGCTGTTCCTAAACATTGAAGTCACCTCTCGCTCTTGCTGAAGGATAAGGACCTGGGCATAATCTGGAGAGACTCCAGACGTATAAAACACCAAAGACTTCACAGACAGCAAGGGAGTCAGGGAGCTGTTATGCATGATTTGACAGAGCAGATTGTGGTGGAGGTGGTCAAAGCTGGCTTTGGTGGAATTTAGGGGGAGAAGGGGTTTTCTTGCCTTTTTTAAGGACTAATCTGTGCTGCTTTGTCCTATGTGATGTTTTGTGAATGACTGTAAATTTAGACAGATCTAGAATATGCCCTACTCTTCATCTCCTCTATCTTCTAGTCCTACATGTTGCTTTCAGAATAGCAGATTAAGAGGGGCCAGCTGAAAATGAGCCAAGTGAGACCATTGACAAACCATCATTCCTGGGCTGCTTCCAGGATCAGTAAGATGGGTCTTATCACAGCTTTTTAATTGCAATAGTGTTATTCATTTCAGCTCTAGTGCATTTCCAGCTCTTACTGTAGTCCTTCTCTCCACTACATCCCAGAGCACTCTGCCAGTCATAAATCCTCCTGGCAGGCCCATTGCTCCTGAAGGCCTAGAGCTGTGACCCTGCCTCAGGGAATCAGGATTCCTTCTGAAGAAGAGCACATATAAGGATGCAGGAACAAAAGACCTAAGTAGCTGGGTTGCTCCCTACCTCCCATGTAGCCCAAAAGGGGAGGAGGGTTGAGATCCTTTTCCAGTGGTCCCTGTCACTGAAGGATGAGTAAATCTAGGTTGGAAGGATCTCTGGAAGTAGTTTTGCCCAGACTCCTGCTCAAAACAGGAGTCACCAGACTAGATCAGATCAGCTCACTAGTGATGTTTTTTAGCCAAGGATGATGACACAACAATCTTTCCAAGTAACTTGTCCCAGTACTCACAACTCTCCTTGGGAAAATGTTTTTCCTGATGGCTTCTGGGATTGTGGCTTGGTTAGGGACTGGAAAATAAGGATCTGAAGAGATCTACATAGCTACTTAATGAACATATATGAACTGAATCAGAAGGTTTAAAATGGTAATGGTGGTAGGATGAACTTTGTGACTGGCAATACTACACATTAGTTTGGGCCAGGGCAGTCTATGGTTAGGGTAAAAATTTATCTTTTGGGATTACAGCTTTTTCCAGAGATATTTTGCTTTGAGTAAAAAAATTAAGAGGAAGGAGGAGAGATTCATGGTTTGAGCTTCATATTGGACACGGCTCTTTCTCTGTAGTATGGTGCCACCACTATAGAAATTAATGCCTGGGAAAAGAAAACTCAAGTAATCAAGATGAAAGGGTTAAAAGTGATGTGTTTAGTGTCAGTTCTGTTACAGTAAATGAGGTTTATATATATATATATATATATATAGCTATTCTAACATTCATTCAACTTTCTATCCTGCTTGGCTGGTCTTCAGCTTCTACAACTCCTAACCAGAAGCCTAATACCTAAATTTGTTGGAATTTAGGTATAAAGATATTTTTGTTGGGGGTCTTAGTAGGGATTTTTACAGAAAGGAGAATGAATGGGTTTGGGGCAGGACAAATAAATGTATACATTTAAAAGAGTTACTGAAAATTGTTACAGAAAAGAGGAAAGTGGAACAATTACAAAGTTGATAACACTTAGGTTATATATTTATTAGCTAACTGGCTTCTGCTGTTGCAGTCCCAGAGACCTTTAGGGTAATCTATCATGAAGGACTGGAATGTTTTTGTGCTGCTGTGAAATTGTGACATTTTTGTAAACTTGTCAAATCCTGAACAACACTGGAAAATTCATGTCCTGGAAACACATGCATATAATCTGTTTTTGAATACCAGGCATGTCCCTAATCTACTTTAATCCCTAGAAAGCCCATTCTTCATTCTAGATAATAGAAGCAAGAAGTCCTTTCAAACTTGATTTACAGGGAGTTTCTTAAATTGTTGCCTTACAGCAGATGTTTTATTGACTGAGTTTGACTTTTTTTGTCCAAGCAGCAAAGGCAAAGGAGAAATTACTGTGTCCATCTCAGGACTGTTTATTTCCATTATCTTCAATGTGTCACGGGATAGCACAGGCCACTTGTCCATGTTGCTACACAATTGCCAGCTGAGCATTGGCAGTGTAAAAGTCAAGTTGAGTGGCAGATCTAGGTACGTACAGCAATTTTTCTAATTACTCTCGGGGAATTGGCAGGGTTTGTAGCATAAAGGACACCTTTCAAATTTTGATTTCTAGGGGTCCAGTTACAGAATATGATTAACTATTGAAGGCTCTGAAAGTGGATTTTTAATGTTCTGTTTTCAAAATCAGACTCTTTTGCTGAGTGTGTAAAGTGTGGTTAATCTACATTTCTTTCTGCATGTGCCAGCAATTGAGCCAACTGGTCATACAGCATATGAAAGCATTGACATTTGACCATATTAAAGAGTACAAGATTGCAAATGGGGGTTTATAGATAAAAAAATGATCTAGACCAATTAAGCCTTTTGACAAGCTGACCTACAATTTGAGAATAAAGCTTTCAAAAGAGAATATGAAACAATGCTTAGAGTTCTTATTTTGATTTTCTAGAATTTTTTTCTTACTCATAGACAAAATGCGTCTAATTGAGCATCATTTATCAGCACGTTAACATGAACATCCACAACTATGCAGATTGCCTTCTATATAGCTCTTTTGAGACTGAGACCACCTAACATTTGTCTGAGACTCAAATTAGTAAAAACAGTCAACTTTTCAGTCTGCCATATTGCTGTAATTGCTTCTCATTAATATAAATGACATTGATGTCCCCGTCTGCCAGATTTTATTTTTCAAAGATTTCAACCCATGGTAAAAAAGCCACTATGTTCATTTCCTTTCCTCCAGCTGGATCTACAGCTTTCTCTCTGGTTATCTTGAGAAGCCCATTCACACCAAATTAGATAAAAATGTAAGTTTGCAAAGATGGCTTCAGATAGTGAAGGGAGGAGTTAAAACACAGGCCTTACATTACTGACTTGTCTCTCTCTTCATATAGCTATGCCTAAATATCAAATACAAAATCCAAATGATGGATGCACAGCTTAGAAAGCATAAGGGTGAGTTGTTGATAACAGCTTTTTGTTAAGTAATTTTCATAGTGCTCAAATTGTATCCTTTTTTATTAGAATTCAAACAATTTCTGTGTTCATGGTACCAAAAAAAGTGAAGGAAGAAAAATACAGCCATTGTTCCGTACCTTAACCTATTCCATGTTCACCCTAGAAATCTCTTGCATGCACTTTATATAAAATATTCAGATTTCTTTTGTGCCCATAGGAAGTCACCTGTAATCTTTCAATCTGTGGTAGTTGACCTGTTTTATTTCCTTAGATTTCCAAGATGAGCATTTTCATGTTGATCCTTTGTGCTCTTGGTACTGTGAACATAAGACTCGTATTCAGTGAGGTAACGATGCTGTAGGAAGACACTGTCACACTGAGCATGTCTCTTTTCCCACCAGTAACAATTCCTGTGTCACTCTTGCAGAGACATGAATACAATCTGTGTTCAAAAAGCATATAAATATAAGATTTTCACTACTATAATCAATGCCACAGGTTTTCTTTTATTGTTGTTGTTAGTTTTTTTACTCCAAGATTAAGAATATTTGTTGTTTTTCTCAATTTAAATTAATTTGATTCCTGTAACTAATATAATTCAGGTCATAGAGTTTGTTCCCAAACAAACATGCTTTACTTTTCATTGTGGATATTTCTATTATCTGCTCTGCTATTCAGAAGCAGAGTAAGTAGACATTTATTTTTCCTAAAATGACGTATAACTGCCATGTGCCAAGCAGTGGCAAGTATTACTGAAAATCATAGTCATCAAGAACATTTTCTTATGCAGCACATAATTAAAAACTTCAGGTTCAAGGGCACTCCAAGCTGTGCTGTCATATTGAGGAGTTCATAATCTCAGTGTGAATTCACCATTCTTTAAACCCATCTCATTTTTATACAGTATGAACAGACCATACAGTCCAATCAAAAATAACAATCAGACTGAAGCTGCATCTGAGCGCCTTTTAGAAAAAGTCTTCAATCATATTGACAATAAAGTGCCTTCTATTGTTGTGAAAAAAATCCAATTTTTTCAACTCTGATTGGCAGAAAAATGTGCTAATGTCATCTTCCAAAGTATTTAGTAGTATTTACCAGTACTTCATTTATCATAAAGGAGAGTTTAGTTCTCTTGTACAAACACATAACAAAAAAGGAGACTCTGCCCTAGATTTTTCACTGCATAGGAGAGACTTCTGCAAAGTGTATTCAGTTGTGAACAGCAGGGGAACAGGCCTAAATCAGCAGATATCAGTGACTTTTCCAAAGGGAATAGTCTTACTAATTCCCATATAATAATTTCCTTTTTAATTGTCTTCTTCCTTCTCCCACCATTATTCTTCTTCAGATTCATCATTTCTATAATGTCTTTGTCTTTAACTAAGCAATAACTGTTTGTGATGTGTTTTTGTAATAATGTCTGGTTTGGTTTTGTCCATCATTCTTCTAGTCTTAAGCCAGATTGACGCCTTTGCACAAGTAGACTATTCCCTACTTAGCTCTCCAGCAGTCTTCAAATCACACATTAACTTGGATTTGAAGGTAATTTGTCTTTAATATCAGTGTGCTTTCTAGCACTTTTCTGATTCTCTTTTGAGTTGATTCATTTTATTTCACTCCAGTCTTAGTGAACCTCCCCAGTGTTTACTTAGAAAAGCAATAAGACATTTGGGAATTTTGGTCAAGAGTTATTTTTGGAAACCAAATACAATTGTTTATTTAATAAATTAACTGCATTTGTGTAATTAACCAAAGCTATTGTTTAGAATTAAATTAACTCGGAGTTGAAACCCGTCAGAGAGGCTTTACAAACAGCATAAAAGTGTTCTTTAGACATACAGCTCTTGCACTGCTGCTTGGTCTTTGCCTGTTAGCAGTGATACAAGATCTGTGATGGCTACCAGTGTCATTGCAGTCCAAAGCATTTGTTTTGAGATGACTCAGCATCTTGTATAAGTACAGGTCACACCCAAAAAGAAGACTCCTCACAGACAGTCCTTGAGCAGCACATAGCAGTTCCTGTCTTATCTAGTTTTCACCTTTGTTGGCAAAAGATATCTCAGCAACACTCAGCTTTTCCAGCAGTTTCAACAGTCCTTGTCATTCAGAGCATCCCAACTGCTCTCAGAACTGACTTCAGTTAAGAAAGATTTGCCAGAGCTGTAGTTGAAACTCCCTCTTGGTTATTTTGTTCAAGCAACTTTCACCACTCACAAAAAACTCTCTGCAAGCAGGATATACATAGCTTAAAAGAACTAAGCAATTAGTTATCAGCTCCTGTAGCTATCTAGAATTTACAGGCTAAACTTTAACATGTGGACATCCCACTGGGACACCTGATGACTCATTCTAAGTCAGTCAAGGAAGTTACTGGTCTTGGTGCTCCTTGGAACAGGCTGATTGTCATCTTCTAACTTTCAGCTTTTTTTCTTAGGGTTTTATACCTTCCCTTGTCAGTGTTTTTTCTGTTGAATCTTCCAGCTACTAACCTTCACGGTTTCAGTAATTACATGACTTGCTATCTGTATTACTTTCCTTACATGGCCTGAACTCACCTACCTCTCAATTTTAATAGTTATTTTCTCAGCATACCTGAATAAAGGTCCCCTACCTGTGCAGCACCAAAATTAGGTCTTAGAGGACTGACAGCTGGACCAGGGCTAAGAGTTAGGTGATATAAAAGGCTCCTTTGTGTGTCCCTGTCCTAAGCAACTTCCAGTGCTTTTTGGGTGTGCCTGAAGATTTTCTTGAAATGTCACCCTTAAGATTAAATTAACAAATGTGTCTCTGCTACAAGAGAAAGAAAACTGTGGTCTAGAGAATTATTTTTTGTATGTGTGTCTTGTAACTGCTGTTCAGAATACTCACTTGAATGCTCAAATTCAAAGTTTGAAAGTACAGCACCCAGATTTTCTTTGATTCCTGTAATTGTTTAGAAGAGCCTGATTTTGCTTATTTTCAGGGCATAACACAAACTTATTTGCTTAGTTCATGGTTTCTTTAATGCCCAGCTTTTCTTCAGATTAGGAAGAATTCTTCCTGTTCAACCGCTGCTAACGCATTCTCACAGATACAAATGTTTCAACTAAAAATATTTGATAATGATTTTTTTGCAGGGCACGGTCTATCCAGTAGGTAATCACACAGACCCTCCCTTTATGCCAGCTCCATTTGCTCTCCCAAACCAGGGTGATTCCATGATATACCTGGGAGTCTCCAATTATTTTCTAAAGTCTGCTTCACTGGCTTACTACAGAGCAGGGGCCTTTAACATCACCATCTCTGAAGAGGTAAGTATAATTTGCATGTAATGGAATCACAAATATCAGCAGTATGGATAGTCAGGTCAGCAAAGGAGACTAACACATTATCTTTGCCATTTCACACAGATTCAGGTCACACTTCTACCACTTGTAGGAAGGATTCATGACAATCATTCTGTATGTCATAATTTAAAATAGTTCAAGTCCCCCTCAGACCTAAGTCTGAACTTCTTGGCAGCTCTAGGCAAGGAATGACAGATATGAACATCACAGAGTTGGTGTGCCAGGAGTGGCAGAAAGAACCAAAAAAAAAGCTTTTCTCTGCATGGACTGCACATAGGAAAGGACAAGACAAGAAAAAGTGTACTGAAGCCACAGTGTGCTGCACAGAGGCCCACAACAGATGTATTGGCTATGTTGAGAGGTAGAATAAATCCCCAGACTTAATGGAGCAGCAGGATGAGGCAAGAATGTACAAGGAAACTAAGCTTTCAGCTGTGGTTGAAGAACATACAAGACCTCTCAGAAATGCTAGTTTCCACACTGGCATTTGTAGTCAGAGTTTCCAATAAGTTTTGCTAACTGAAACAATGCTAAGAGGGTCTTTATGGATGCTGGTGACATGAATGGCACTAACAAACATCATCACAGTGGTTAGCAGAAAAAGGGCAGATGAGATTTTTGAGTCCTTGCCTCTGACACACTCAGTATATTTCATCTGAGAAAGTCTCAAAGGCAGGATGTCATGTCTGTTCTTTCAAAGAATAATGCTTGTTCACTGGTACGTGCTTCTGAATCAAGTCCATGAGAAATCTATCTCTCTTTTGTCCCACAGAGCACTGAGGGTTGCTTAGGAATCATTCTCGGGCAAGGAAATACTAAATCAAAACATGGATTGTCTAAAATTAAAAGAAACAAGATCTATGGTTGGGGATTTTTTTTCCAAGGAAAACATAATTTTCAGGCTGGTATAAGGATGATCTAATTTATTTTATTTGTTTACAGCTTGCTACTACTTTTAGCTTAAATACCTCCCTACTCAAATATTTTGTCTCTGAGGTGAGTACTGTTACTTGTACAGACTTTTAAGAAAAAGCAGTATCTAATGCTCTTTATAGATATTATCTGTGTGCTCTTGTTTGAAAAAGTTTGGAGGAGACAAGGAAACTGGTTTATGATTAGTGCAAGATTCAAACATACACGTCTGCCCCATACTCTTCCTAACTATATCATACTACACTTTAGTTATTCTCTACCCCTCTAAGTTCTGGATTTGCTCTCAGTCTTTCAAATAGTTATAAAGAATAAGTGGTAGCCATCTGTGAGATCAGTCTCCTTTTATTCCTATTCAAGGTAATGGTATCTCTGCTATTGGTAGCCTGACTTCTCTTTGCGAATATTCCTGATTTTTGACTACTGGAGTTTATATACAGTGGGAAACAATAGTCATGAGTCTATACATGTGATGAAAGAAATTAAGATACTATGAGTTGCTGTAAAAATATGGCAACACTTACTATAAGATGATGAAATTCAGAATCTATGGAATTGCAAACTGAAGTTTTGTCCTTTAGGAGTTTCTCTACTTTTCAAAAGATTGGCTCTTTTGCAGGCTGTCACTTTTCAAAATACTTTATATTGTCAAAGTGATTATTTATTTTTCTTTTTACTGGAATCACTCATTTCCCTCATTTTTTTAACATGCTAATCTCCTCCTCTTGAAATACATTTTTCAGGAACAACCTCTAAATTGCTTCATTATAGATGTTTAATATCAGTGGGTTTAAAACTTCACCGTTTGTTTTATCATTTCTGAAACTCAAAGTATATGCAATGCTAAATTTGTCATTTCAGTTGGTGTAACTAAAATGAAGTATATTTAATACTGGTTAATTACAAGAGGATTGGTATACAACACCTGATTATGAAGCAGCTACAGAAACTGTGGCTTAAGAAAAGCTTAACTCTGCACTCTAAGGTTTTTTCCTCCTTGAACCTCCACAGATGTCTCTGAGTCAGGCAGCAGCATGCCCAGTGCTGCTGAAGCTGATGGCCACATTACCTCCTGCAGTCAGTTTAAACACAGACAGATGTGTCCTACAGATCACTGGCTTTGTAGAAGTGTTTGCTGCTCTGCCAAATTCAACCACCCAGCACATCTTTAAAGGGAATCTAGTAAGTAAAATGAGCTAGAAGATAATATTCAGTGCTGGGGCTGAACAAATCACAGAGTAATCTTCAAGGTCCTTTGAAAATCATAGAGATCAGCATAAAATAGCATATACCGGTCTGCCACAAATATGCATACTGTTCTGTTGCATTTCAGAGGGAGCAAACATGCACCACATACTGTAGAATTTAATGAATTTAACAGGCAGGTGCAGAGACCTACTTAGGAAAGCCCTTTTTTCCATATGGGAGGTTGAGTGATTATTCAATACAATTATTCAAGAATAAATTGTAATATATAAAAATGTTATTGTCTGCCCAGTCTTCCTAACATCTTTGTTATAAAGTCATTTCAGTGTGTCCCCAGACATCTTTTCATGAGGTTGCAAGTGAACCAATTAGGTCAGCCATGCAAGGACTTAAATGATCCTAATGATAAGGAGGCAATCAGGGCACTGTTATCATTTTGCTCACACAATCTCGGTTGCTGGCAGAAATCGGCAAATTCACAAATGCTTTCACTATCTACATGTATTGACCACATAAAAAGTTTAGACATTGTGTTTTCAATCAAAAAAGCAATTACATTTGTGCCTGTATCTAAGACAGTATCTATCTGTGTATACAGTCACACGAGACTGTTTTGTTTTTTTCCCTGCAGACAGCCAGTACCAGAGCCAATTTGACAATAAACAAACAGAAGTTGATTATCTCATTACTTCTGAAGAGGTAACCAAGAAAAATTCAGGAAGCAACATCAATGATCCCAACATTAGGACACAACAGAACTCACTGTGTCAGCCTGACAGTGGTTGTTTCACCATGACAAAAAGAAAATTAGTTACCTTCTTTCTGACAAGAACTCTTAAGATACTTTCAACTGGTTGGTTTAAATCTTTCAGATGAAATATAACAATACTGTGGAACAACCATGTCTCTTGTGATACTTCCCCTTTCTGTAGGTATAAATACCTTTCCAGATGACAACGTTCAATGTATTGGTTATCTTAAAGGCATCTGTTTCAGTCTGCGCTGATGTTGGAGTAGTTTATCTAAAACCCACTAAATGTTGCTGCCATGCCAAGTCTGAGCATCATAAACAGAACTGCTGGAGTGCAAACCCTGCACAGGACCACTGTCACTAGCTCTCTGTATGCCTTCACATGAAGGGAAGAAAAAAATGAGACTGCACAGCACACACTAAAGCAGCAGACACCATGCCATCAAACAAATGAGACTGGAAAGGTGTTTGTAGTTTGAATCAATGCTTTTTAGATTTTTTTCTTAGATCTGCTCGTTTTGTGTTTACTTACATTTATGGTTTTTCTCAGCTGTCTTAGAAAAATTTTATTAGCACTTTGAGCTGGGCTGGGTTTACGGCCTCTTTCTCCATAAGTGCACCAGGTGGACAGAAGCGCAGACTTTCAGAGAGGTAGCCCACATGCCCACAGCAGTGTCTCTTCTTGTTAGCTCTATACTCCAAGTTGAATTCCAGAATATATGATATTTTTTAATCTATTACAATTTCATTAAAGAAAAATATAAGCAGCCTTTTCTTAGTTTTTGTCACTGGACCTTTTTAATGGGAAAAGAGGACTTAAAATGATCAGGGTCTGTCAGTATAAGTTTAAGAAGTAATGGTGCCACTCAGAGCTTTTAACACAAGAATGTGTTCTTCTATTCTTCAAAATTTTGTTTTTCCCCAGGATTATGTTTACAATGATCTGAGGATGCATTACAGGCATTAGTGGAAAAAGTTAGGAAAGGATATGAGTTAATTCAAATCATAATGCATATTTGAGGAATGTGTAGTTCAGCCATTGGAGAAATAGCAATTCCAGGAAAAATTGATTTCCCAAGTCTTACAGTTACAGCCCAGAACTACACATGACTATAAGAGGAGATTAGTACCAGAAAGATCCCAGTGATTCTATACTCATTTGTAGTTGTGCCAGTTTTAGTTAAAAGTTGTTGGGAATCAGAGTCTTTGGCAAAGTTAAATGTGTGAATCAGTGTGAAATCAGTATGAATTTCCACAAACAAATCTTCAAGCAGTGTGCATAAGTTGTACTTTCATCTTTTATAGTGAATCCTCTTCTTTTACTTCTTCTCTTCAGGTTCCAGTTCTCCCTACTGCACTCCAGTCTTGGCTTCCCTGAGGTAAGTTGATGGTTTCAGTGCCTGGAATAAGTAGCTGACCCCTTCAGAGATAAAAGAAATACTTCTGAACTTGCTGCTGAACAACTATTGGTCTGTCTTGGGGACATCATCTGCCACTGCTCTTTCTGTTTTGAAATAGTATATGCTATGTTTTTCTTTTTCTTTCCAGTAAGAGGAAATATCTCTTAGCGTGTTCTTTTATTTTTTCATCAGAGGCTCAAAATGTTATGGAGTCTGCCTGGGTTCAGGCAGCAGTCACAGCTGGACTGAGTATGTGCAGCAGTTGAAGTGAATACAAAGTCAGGTTCAAGCTCCATATTGTAAATTATCTTAAATTACTTCAACCAAATAGCATAAAAACAGGATTAAAAAGAAAAGGGAATAAAAGAAACATGATGCCACTACTTAGATCCTTCACTGTAGATTGAGAAATGATCAGAGAGACTCTGCAGCAGCTCAGCCCAACCAGTACCTTTAAATGAAGGGAGGAAGAGACTAATCACAGTGGCGTAAGACAGAGCTTCAGGACAGGGCAGTTCTTGCCACCCAGAGAACAGTTCACATATGACAACTGAGTCTGCCAGATGAAATGAGGTCGAACATATTTAATTCCTAAAGTTAAGGTTCGACCCAGGTATTTAACATGCAGGAAAAAAAACCCTTTCAATTTAACTCATTGTGAGAAAATGGACATCTCTTTGCAACTTAAACTAAAACATATCATTTTTTTTGCCTGAGATTTTCTCTGCCAAGCTCTGTTCTGATCTTTTTGTGTGTCACTTTAGTTCTAACACTCATCTTCCTTGTCAAGCTGCAAACCCATAGGCATCAGGCAATAATCACCAAAATGTGCTTTTCCCCACACAGCAGAAGTCAGTGGTGGAGAATTTTCTGTCGTATGCTTTACGGAGAGTAGTAATCCCAGTAATCAATGGTAAGGACTGTGGCCAGTTCCTGAGCACAGCTGGGGGGAAAGCAAGACTGAAACCATAAAAAGAAGTGCCCAGCTTTAAAGAGACTGTTGTGTGAGGTTTTCTGTTCATTTGGTGACACCAGGACAGGTTTACTCTGTGCTGGACTTTGATCCTGGTCATTCAGCTATGTAGATCAGGGGCTGGGACAGAGCAAGTCTTGGCTCCCTTTCAAACACTGGGCTTGGGTTTCATTTTCACTGAATGCAGTGTGGCAGCAGAGCTGAGACATGTTTGAGTCTTGTCCTGACAGAGAGTCAAGCCATGAGCAGAGAATGGCCCAAAGTGAGGAAGTGCAGAAGCACATTTGCACCTTTGGGCCTTGGGTTAACATCTCTGACTTTATCACCTCTCTGCCTTTGTGCTTCACCTGCTGCCACAGGCCAGACAGAGTAGAAATCAGTTCAGTAGGAGACAGGTAATGAGGGATGATGAAGAAAGGGATGATGGTGGAAAGAAGCGGGTGGAAGAATGCAGAAGGTGCCTCTCACATGAACAGAGGTGAGGAGACTGCTGACAAAAAAAGTGAGCTACCAATGAGGAGAAAGAAAAGAGAATGAAAGGGCAGGATGCATGTTAGATGTTTGGAAAAGCAAATAGGAATACACCCGGGGCTTGATCCAGGAAAGTAGGGATAGATGAGAATAAGAGGAGCCAAAAGGATGAGAGGATCAAGTAGAGAAGAAATTGAAAGGAAGATGGAGAGTAACGCAGAGTGGGAAACAGCAGAAACCAGATCTTGAGGGGCAGATAACTGGAGAGGAACAAAGGCAGTGTCAGAGAAATGAGAGATTGTAAGAGGTTTAGATGCAACTTTTTCACAGGGTTTTTTGCTCCCTTGAGAGGCTCAAGGATGGCTAATTGAAGGGATTTTGCAAACACATTGAGTTCCTTGAGAAGGATGCTTCTGAAGTGCATTTTATTATTACATTCAAATGTATTTATATTTGTCCTTTCCAAAGATAAACTAGGAAAAGGATTTCCTCTTCTTAACTTGACCCACACTAGCCTGACTGGACCTGCAATAAAAATGAATCAGGTAAGAAGCCAAATTTCTTTTATAGAATATTGCTTCTGTTTCAGGCCTGCATATTTGTGTGTTTTCCTGTGTTGGGTAAATCTAAATGTTATTAGTAAAGCTTTCACTATGCATTAGATATAACGTGCAAACTCTGGATCCAAAATGAGCCCCCTACCCCAGCAGTTATAGATTGCAAAGGGTCCACTAGCCCTTTGGGGTGTGCCAGCATGGGGACATGACAAGGACAGCGCTGCTATCCCCTTAGGAGCATTGAGTGTGTGAGTCCTTGCTCCTCTGACCTTTCTCTAGGAAGGCTCACAGGCAACCTGAGTGTCTCTGGTAAGTGTCACTCAGCCTTCTGGAGTGTTAACCTACATCAAAGCCCATTCCTACCCTAAAGTTAACTAAAGTTCGGGAGGCACAAAGCCTCTTGTCCCCTGCCCTGCTGAGGGGCTTACCATGGGATCTAATCCCAGAGTAGTGTCCCTGAATATATGTCTGAAATTTAAAGTAATTTTACGTGTTTTTCTTTCCTCAGGGTTATATGGTTATTTCCACTGATGTTCACTACCAACCAGAGGACAGGGAAGATGAGGACCTCCACAGCCACTCCTGATGTCCTTTTTCTTCTAAAGAATAATAAGAGAAAAATGTAGTTTTCCTTCTGTTGGCTCGTAGGGAGTAGATGCTGTAACATTAGAAGCATGGCTTTTCATCACTATTTTTAGTGTTTTAGTAAAACTTTTTAAGCATTTTTCACAAAGTGAATGTGTTGGTTTTTAGTACAGTGAGTGTAGCTAACTGTTATTGATGCTCTGGAAAACTTGTTGCAGTCTGATCCGAAGCAGCAACTGGTTCCTTTCAGTAGAGTTATAGACACCACATTTTGTTAATTTTAGGAACAAGTTCTTGCATTGTTCAATTTATCTCCATTAGCGTTAGCAAAATTTTATGTATGGAGTGAGATCTTATTCTTTGTAAGCGTTTCACAATTTGTCCCTTTGTAACTGGATACCAAGAGTGGGAAGAAATGTATAAAATCCAGTTAATTGCCATATAGTTACAGAATCATATAATCTAGTCCAGACACTGGCTCAAAACAGGACTAATTATATGAGGTTATTGAGCACTGTGTCCAGTCAAGACTTGAACGCCTTCAAGGATGGAGATTCCACAGTCTCTCCAGGCAATCTGTTCCACTGTTTAACTCCCTTCAGAATAATTTTTTTTCCTAATATCAAATCAGCATTTCCCATGTTCCAACTTGTTCTGTGGCCTTTTGTACTTTCACCACACACTTCCAAAATGAGACTGACTCCATTTTCTCTGTAGTCTCTGATCAAAACATTGCAGGCAACAAAATGGCCTTTCAAGCCCTCTCTTCTCCAAGCTGAACAGGCCTAATCTCTCAGACTCTCCTTGTAGTTCACATTCTCAAGCCTCCTCAAGAACCTGCACCTGCTGGTGCAGTCCAGAGGACAAGCCTTGCTAGTAAAAGCAGCCTTTTCTGTATCTTTTGTCACTAGTCCCCCATCTTACTGAGCAATAAGCCCATCTTCTGCTATAAATGTACTTAGGGAAACCTTTCCTGTTGCACTTTGGCTTTCCTGACTTTATTCCTATATGTGCAAACAAGATCTTTGTGTTCCTTCCAAGTATCTGGTCTCGATTTCCATCTTCTGTATGCTTCCTTTTTATGTTTGAGCTCACTCAGGAGCTCCAAGTTCATCCATCGTGGCTTTCTGCCACAATTGCTCAACTGTCTGAACATTGTAATGGACTATTCGTATGCTCTGAGGCGGCTGCCCTTGAAGATTAGCCAGCTCTTCTTGGCCTCTGCTCTCCAGGGCAATTTCCCACATATCCTGCCAAGCAGGTCCCTGTAATCTTCTCATCTGAAGTCTATGGTTGTAATTCTGTTCTTTGTCTTGCTGCTCCTCTCAGGATCTGAAAATCCACAGTTTCATGCTCACTGCAGCCAAGGCTGTCCTTGGCTTCTATATCATCCAGCAGTTGTTCCTTGTTTGTGAGTCGCTGTACCTCTTCGAGGGTATCAATCTCCAAATAATGGAGCTGGTAGCTTTATTTTGTCTTATGTCAGTGTCATCAGAGACACTCAACCAGGAGATATTAAACGTGTGTGAAAAGAAAAACTAGTCTGCAAATATCTCATCACAGAAAGTTCAGTTCCAGCTTGGGACAGAAATGTGGCTTCCATAGTTTTAGCTGAATCAGTTTATTTATCTAGCTGGCTGATATAGTTTTTTACTAAAAAAAAGCATCCTGAAACCAAACAGTAGTAAGTCACAGCATCTGATTCATTGTATCCTGTGGTAGGTGAAGAGTGACTAGAAAAAGAATGGAAGAAGAAGAACTCAAAAGAAATGAAGATTTTTAATTAGTTTGGTGTCCCTCACTGATATCAGGAAATTTGTTCTGTCTATTTGGAGGACAATTCATGAGATACAGGGGAAAAAGAAAACTGAAGCCCTGGTGTCTATATATTTTCTCTTCCAAAGGGGGACACGCTTCAGGACTGACCAAATACCATGGCTCAATGGACCTTTTCAGGCCAGAGTCATGGCTTAGCACAACACTGTCTCTTAAGCTCTAGTCCTCTGGCTGTTCACAAAGTAAGAGATGTAGTAATTTCTCTGAGGACTAAAGAGGATATCACATAAACCAACATTTCCCCCTGTATCATCCTATACTTACCTAGAAGTCACTATACAATTTTTGATCTGCTGGTGTCTCCTGATTGATAGAACCATGGAAATGATTCATGTTCATCAATTTGCTGCAGAATAGAGAGCATGGAGAAAAGGCAGAATTGGGGAGCAGGGAAAAGGGACCACTGGAGCACTGAGCCAGAGGCAGGGGTAGGAAGCATGCAAAACCAGTGATCTGCAGAGATATAGGAACAAGTTTGTAGTATTGCCATACTGATAACTTCATCTGGTTTCTTGTGTATTGGGTAAAAAGGGTTGAAATCTATATCCCCTTTATCATGCACATCAAAGAAAATTTAGAGAAAGCTGAAATAAAACACTCCTCTTAGAGGCTCTTTGTTACACCTTGAAGGGTGAAAAGTTTGGATGTAGAAGCAATTTATAGTGTATTTGAATGTGCTATCTGAATGTGTCTGTAAGTAGATAGTTGCCTTTTATTCCTATACTTGTAGAAAGAAATGATGGAACTGTTCTGGAAGCCTTAGTGTGTTTTTGTTAACTTTTGCTAAAAATCTTATCTTACTCTATTAGAAGAATCATAACATGTTAGAAGGATATGATGAGGATAAGCTGACGTAGTTTTCAGACAATTCAGTTGTTTGTACATCTTGGAGATCTGTGTAGATGGAAACAATGGAACTTTCCCTTGCTTTATAGGAACTGCAGAACTTGCGCCAAAAGAACTTGTAGAGGTTTATGTAACTGATGGTGCAAATGATATTCATCATCAGTTGCCAGAGATATAAATAATGAAATTATTATGCATGTGACTCCCTGCAGTGAATGTTAAATCTGTGTAAATGGGAGTATCTGTTGACTGACTGACAAGTGTCTCTACCTTTTCTATTCATGGATTGCACAATGAAGTGACTCAGATTGTCCAGCAAAGTGCTTCATGCCAGAGGGAATTTGCTTGGACATGCAAGCTAATTGATTAAATCACCTCCTTGACAAGCCAAGGAGTGCTGGTTAGCTGAAGTACCAGTTAACTGGATAAACAAGGACAAGAAATAGAAAATATTGACTACAAGGACTTGATACTATATATTTGCACCATAAATGCACATATAGTGTCTGTGTGTATATACATATGCTATAACATAAATCTTATATGGTTTGTGGTTTTCTGTATCCTGAGCAATTTCAGACAGATGGGCCTTGTTTTCCATCTGTTCTTCACAGTGATTGCACATTAATTTATTTCTTTCAAAATACAGACCTGGCTATGAGTGTCTATCCTTTGGAATTACTGGAATTCAAGTGCCTGTTTTTCGGAATTAGTGGCATTCTCACTGGGGTTTCCTCTCAGGTCCATCTGAAAAGCCAGTGCTGAAATAGTCTGCCACAAAGGCAGCATGCCATCCCAAACTCAGAACCCCAGTGCCTGAGCACCCCCATCCAACAGTTCACATTGCCCCCTGCTTATCCCTAAATGAAATTTGATAGATTTAACCTGGGACACCCAAAATAGTTTGGGCTGTGATTATCAGAGAGGCCACTCCCTGTGTGATACTGCTGAAGATGGTAGCAATTGGCTGTCTTAAAGCTCACAGCTCTTTCCTTTAAAAGACGGGGTTGTGGTGGCAGATGATTCTCCCTGCATGGTCCTCAGTCCTGTGGTCTGGTACAGTAAGAGTCTTCTCTTCAGTCTTCAGAGGAGAGGTATGAAAATAAATGTGTTGTGATTATGCTTTGTTGAGGAGGGGCTTTGTTGGGCAGAGATAGATGTAGCTAAATCTGGTTAAATGTTGAGATTTTATGATTTGAGAACTATGCCTATGTTAAAAACACATTTCCTTCCAGTACTTTGTTTTTGTTCTATACATGGACTGTATTTCTTTCACCTTTGGATTCCACACATGAAGTGTGTTTCTTTCATCTCTCAATAAAAGTCAGTTAAAATTAAAAAGAAAATACTATCATACTAAGAGGCAAAGGTGTTCTGTGGGATTGCTTGAACTCTTATAAAAATTTAAGTCAATGTTATAATTTTGCAGTTTGCTTAAATTGTTATCATAACTGAAAATATTTTAGAGGTTTGAGGTGTATTATTACTTCTGGTAATGAAACAGCAAATAAGCAAAACCAAACATCTGTTGGACCATGGAGTTTGCACAGAGAGTTTCTGGATAAAACTTAACGCATTTATTAACATGTGGTCTAGGGAATATGAAAACATTGTCTGCTGGCACCAAATCATTTACTTTTGTTGACTGTCAGGAGGGAACATAAGGCATTGCTCAAAATTGTGACTAAGATCTTAATAAGTAGCTCCAGAAGTGGGGGTATCTGTGCCTGTAATTAAGTGAGCTGATCAGGTTTTCCAAAGTGCTAAGATGCAGTGATGTCTGCTGAATCACCAAGAGGCGCTGAGAGCGTTACATATTTTGGAAAAAATAGGCTACTTATTTCGCTAGCTAGAGGTGGGAGGGGAAATGACAACCTAAAAATTCAATGTCACGTCGCTTTCGACAGGGTTTGTCTGGATGGATGTATCCCAAGTGCTTTTCCCAGTCTCTATGACAGTGAATAGGCTGACTTTTCTCCTCTACCCCATGGAGCTCTGTTTTTGTAACAGTCTGTGCAGAATGGGTCCTCTCTTCCACGGTTGCTGAGCTTTCCAGTTTCTCCACTCTAGAGGGAAAGCTGGTGTCTAGGGTGGAGGGGAAGGGAGTACAACCACAAGTGACATAGCATGAACTTTGCTATCATTATATTTATTAACAGGTCCTGTAAAAAATGAGGAAGATGCTGAAGATTTGCTGTTCTCTCCTTCTCTTAAGTTTGCTCAGTGGGCAATTCAATGCCAACCCTGGACTCAAAGTGAGGATCACCCAGAAGGGCTTGGAGTATGGTATGTGTGATGTTTTCAGGAGCTGCTGGTGGTATTGCACTGAATCCTGATATGAGAGACATAGGACAGTGAGGGCAGTGGAAGAAAATGACCTGATCACAGGCTATAAAGGAAAAATTTAAGATATTGAATCAGTTCAGCTCCTGCCATGACTAGGAGTGAGATCAGAAATAACACTACTGGATCTCACGTGAGATATCTTCTTCCTCCTGACTCTGTGTCCATCCCATCTCCTGAGCCAGAAACACATAACTATAAACTCCCAGGCAGTATCAAAGGCAACTGAACTGATCATTGTTTTCCTGTAGCCAAGGAGGTTGGGCTGGAAATCCTGAAGCAGAATATGGAAAAGGAGCGTTTCCCTGATTTGACTGGCCATGAGAAATTTGGGCTTGGTAATGTCAAATACAACATCTCTGGGTAAGTATTCTCTCCAGGGGCAATTTATGTTTGACTGAAATTTAACTCTGATTGTGTGTTCATTCTGACTCATGAAATACAAACTTTTCTTTTTCTTCTCCCTTATCTGTCTCATGCTCTAGAATACATGTCACTGCTGTTGAATTACCCAGTGCTTCCATCTCCCTCCTACCTGAGTCTGGGATAAAACTGGTGATAGGAAATGCTTCTCTAACCATCGACATGAACTGGAACATAAGGACCTGGATGTTGTACGTACAGTTAAATGTGTCCTGGGATTTTTCCTTCATATAAAGATAAAAATGCAAAGTTTAGTTTTTCTTGTGACCTCTTCACGGCAAAGGTACTCTTTATCAGCTGGCAGCAGTAACCCAGAAGCACAGACTGGTTCTTCTCAACAGGTCTGCTAGTGGGAGACAGCTCCCTCAGACATGAGCACTGATAAAGAGCCCGTGGCTGAGAAGCACTGCTGTGAATAATATAGGACTGCTACTCTGGATGAACGCTGTCATTATCCAGCCTGCCAGCTAATGACACATTTAGAAAAACCGTAGAGTGGTGGGTCACAGTCCAGTATAATAAAACCTCCCAGTGCAGTTACACTGTTAGAAACCTTCTGCTATGCCTCCAGGAGATATAGTTCAAAAGCTGATGGAAAATGGATGAGCAAATGGCAATATCCTTAGAGCCATGTCCATACCTTCCTAGTCCCATGCTGTTTCAGAGGAAATAAATCCCTCTTCCCTTCTCCACAAGTCACATTACCTATATTGCTAAACTGACTGAATTACAGAACTGATATGCACTTCTCACTGTGAGAAGTGATATGCTCACAGGGACAGTGGGGTTGGCTGCTTTCAAGGGGAGGGGACCCGGGAGCTGAGGGTGATGGCACAGTAGGAGGGACAGTGCCCTCACTGGCAAGTGCCCAAGGTAGGCAAAGCAGAGCAGGTTAATGGCAGTGACCAGGAACAGCCACCGGTCCAGACTGCCAGGTAAGTCCATAGTGAAGAGGTGGGGGTTTTTTTCAGTATTTTATTTATTTTTACTTAATGCAGCAAAGACAGTGGAAGAAGCACAGTGCACATTTCAAAGGTGTTTGTCACTGCAATCTTTTCAACACCCCGGGATAATACAGGTCCTACATCAATATCCCTTACCAGCTGCCGGACAACTTCTGGTGAAATAGATATCAAGCTGAATGGAAAAAGCGGGTAAGTGGAAGAGATCTGTATAAACTCTGGGAGAAAATAAGCGTCAATGAATAGCAGAGAGACAACTTCATGAAACAGGGCACCCAGAATTGCTTTTAGGTATCTATAGACACTACAGGTGAGAACTGGGGACCTAATACAGTGTTAAAATGGCCAACATTGATATTTATACTTGTTTTTGCGCATGGTAGAACATAAAGACAGAATCAAACAATCCCTTGTGCTTCTTCAGCACCCACTTCTTTCAAAATTCTGCTCTAATCTTCAGCTTTAAGTAGAAGTTACATGCTTGGACTGTGTTTCACTCCCCCAGTCACAATGCTATCAAAATTGAACAGAACCAGACTACTGTCTGTTAAGCCTCTGGATACATGCAACAATATTTCATTGCTTCCTTGTACTTCTCTCACTGTCTGAATACCACTTTTGTCTCCTGGGTTTGTTTTGTTTGTTTGTTTTTACTTGTATCAGTTCCTAGTGCAGACACTACTTACTTGTTCTGTGTTTATACATATATGATGGTGGTACTATGAAGAACTGCTTTTTTCATACAGATTAATTAACCCTGGCTAATTGCTGAGATGCTGAAGTTATCTCCTTTTAAATAGTGGCTCTCTGATAGTTTTTACATTTCAGAAAGCTCTCTTGTGTACTAGAATATCACACTCAGAGGACATTAAATTAGGGTTCCACAGACATAGCTGATCTCCTGTTAATGACCGTGGTACTTGACCCATTAATTGCTTTCTTCCTTCCCTCTAGCTTCCTGCATAACTTCTTTATCAAGTATCTGAAGAAACCTATTCACAGGAGCTTGGTCACTAATGTAAGCCTTTCACATTGTGTAGGGGAGGGTTGTAAGGAGCGTAACATTCACGAGTCACTGCTGTGAACTTGGTAAAGTAAAACTAGAAAAATAATTCTGTAATAGACCTATTCAAGTCTGCTCAGCACAGGCAACATTTTGCCAGCCAGAAATGCTTCCAGATAAAGTTCATGGCCAAGATACTGACTAGTCCATAGCTAGTTCAACCAGGGCAGCTGTAGGGCTGGAAAATGTAGTTATTTTCCCATTCCAATGTAGAATAAGTCTCTGCCTGTGTACCTACAGGCATCATGGAGTATGGGATATTTTTATACTTGTCAGACAAAACATATACTGGGTTATGCACAGAGAAATTATAGTACATCAACTGATAGTATGACATATTTAAACTTCATTGTATTAAAGAAGTGAGCAGTCCTGATGACAACCTGACCAGGGCCACTGAGAGGAGACAGAGCTTGAGATGGCTGTGATTCTGTCCCAGGACAGGGATTTATGGGTGGACTTGATGATCTTAAGGGTCTTTTCCAACTTAAATGAGTCCATGATTCTGAGATCTCTCCTGTGAGACCAATGTGAGATCTGTCTCCTTGTGCTATTGAAGGCTGTGGTTTTGTCACCCCCACCAGGCTGCCTCGGGCAACTTCCCTCTTTTCTGCAGCTCTGATATAGGATATGCTTACATTGCACCAAGCACAAACCTTGGGAATCCAGTTAGCTGAAGAAAAGACAGATTAGGTGTTTTGATAAACAAATGCTGCAATGTATGTCACGTAGCAGAAAGATCTACTAGCACACAGGTAAGAGGTGCTTATACGTCCATGCTAAGCAGGCCATAATTTGAGTGTGCTTTTATTACAGTCATGTCCCAACATCAGAGCTGGGATCCAGTTGATAGATGAAGACCTCCGATCGCTGAATGGTGAGTCAGTAATGATACCTTTTCCTTCTGCTTCTTCTCTGCTGATCAGTGAAGTTCTGCAGCTTCCTTAACAGCCGCTGGTCAGCAATGTGTCCAGGAGTGATATCAGCCCCTCTGCTCTGTCTGCTCCCTTGCTTACAGAAACAGTAAGCAGGGCTACATGGGCAAGAAATTTATATTTGTAAGAGCCAAGGACTTGGTAGCAATTCTTGACTTGCAAATGCAGCAGTGTGCACTTCTGTTGTTAGAAATGCAACTTAGAGGCCACAGCGTACTGACACCAAGGCAATTTTCCCTTCCCTCCCATGCTCCAAGTCCTCCTGCACACACAGCATTTTAAAAGCTGAAGCCTGCTCTCCTAGCCTGCCTGAAAATTTAAGTTTTACTTGCCTATATATCAGACTTGCCAAAGGCAAAAGGAAATTCTCCTTGGCAAAAAAGCTTCTCACTTGAACTATTCTGGGTTAGATTTGCAGGCTTTTAAGACACCGGGGAAGTGTTGATCAGATACCATGTGCAAAACACAAGTACCTAAGCAGATCAGGCACCCTGCTTTCTGGGAAAGTATTTGCAAGTTGGAGACACGCTGGATGCTCTTAGAACTGCTTGACAAGAAATCCCAACGCCTCCTCATGCCCTGAATCACTGATGGCCATTTCCTCTTTTTTTGTTAGACTAAACTTTTCCACAGTGAGAAAACAATAGACAAACTAAAGACAGTGCTTTACAGAAGGTTCCAGTAGAAACATCAAGCCTTAGTTCACAATGCATGTTAGGAAGTCCCTGGTTGTGTTTTTCCCTACTCTCTGGAGCAATCAGTGTCATTCTCCTTGAGAAACTGACTTAGTTATAAGTATGCATAAAATTCTTTCTGTGTTTTTTGTAATATTCTGTATCTTGCTTTATCTACCACCCTTACAGTTGTAATGCCGATTGATGATTTCGCTGAAGTAGACTACTCCTTAAGTAGCTTGCCAGCAGTATTCCAACCATTCATTGACCTGGACTTAAAGGTAAGTAATTGCCTGTAGTGCTGTTTGCCAAGATTGCTGCATGATCCACTTTCTAAGCTGACCATGATTGCTGTTCTGAACACAGAGGCTCAGTATCTAAGACAGACATTTCAAAGCATTCATCATGGCTAGGCTTCGCGAACGAAGATTTGGGAAGGGTTCTACCCACGTTGCAAGTGCGTTGGTGGCTAAAAAAGCCAATACAAGATAGGCATGTCCGGTTGCAAAAGGCACAGCAGAAAGACTCCTTAGATGGTATATTCTGCAAGGCTCGATTCTTTCTGCGTTGTCTTTTCTCCTCAAGGGGGATCCTGCGTGCGTTCTCAAAGGCATCAGCAGCGTTATAGATGGTGTGTCTCCAGACCTCCCAATTGGAGGCCAGAGTAGACCAGTTATGGTGGTCAATACGGCCAAGGCTGAGATGTTGTTTCAGGGAGTCCTTGTATCTTTTCTTCGGGGCTCTTCTCTTGCGGCAGCTGGCGGCAAGTTCACCATAAAGCAGGATCTTAGGGAGGCGGTGGTCCTTCATCCTGGAGACGTGCCCTGCCCAACGCAGCTGTGTTCTCAGTAGCATGGCCTCAATACTTGTGACTGCTGTTTCAAAGCATTATTGCATTTGTTATTGTAATAATTTGTAACAATCTTGTTGTAAAATGAATTATTTAAAAGCCACATCCTTTTTTTTAATTGCTGTTGAGTTAGTCATAGAAAATAGAGAGCAGTAAAAGTTGACTAAGCAAGTTAGAAGTAAAGACAAAAGGAAAGGAAAGAAAAAAATATTCAACATCATCTTTCTCTCACTGTTGATTAATGTCTGGGACTTCTTTGTTCAGTCAGTCAGGGGAATATTTCTACACATTGCACTAACTAGATGTGTCTGCTGTCAGATGAGAGAGGAAAAGAAAAAGACTATAGGACCAAGACAAGACTATAGGACCAAGAATTCAGCCTCTGGCTTCCTGAATGGGAAGACTAAAGACCCTCGAAAAAACATGGGAGCCCAAGGAGTGCTGCTGAGTCTGAAGACCTGGAAGTTTCTTTCAAATTAAGGAAAAAGTCTCCTTATGTACTGAAACTAAAATCTGACTAGTTCCTAATTTTAAAATTACTTCATTTTCATTCTAAGTAAGGTGATTTGATTGAGGGTAGTCATCATCATCACTGTATCTAAGATCCTTAATTAAGTTTAAGCTGCCTTGCACTAGGTGCTCTACAAAGGGAGAATGAAAAGACAGTCTCATTACAAGGATCTTATAAATTAAGTATTAAAACAAGTCAGCAGGTAAATAAGAGAGGTGGAAACACAAAGGAACAAAAAGTTAGTATCTGTATGGTGGACACTGGTCTTAGCACACCAGCTCTGCAGCTGCTGTCAGATTCTTCCAAGTATTGCAGCAACCAGATTTTAAGCAGGAACTTGAGCAGACTAAAGATGTAATGTCATGGCTGTTTACAAGAGCTACTCTCCCACATAAGTTACATGGGGGAAATACACGAAGCAAGTGACTGGTAAATTCAGCAAGTGAGAATTGAATGGGGAGGTCACTAGCTGTGATTCAGCATTTCGTAAGCATTTTGATAGTCCTTAAAAGGCAACTGGAAATTTAGAGCTGAATGAGAAAGTAAAGACATACAGAATATATTTGAGATGAAACAGAGGCAGGGAACTAACAAAAGGGATAAAAAAACTTTAACCTCTAAGTGCCTTCATCACTTTAAATCAGTTTTTACCTTTTTGTTTAATCTGTGTGCATTTGGAAGCATTAGATCTGCAAGTCTTGGCTAGTATCATTGGTAATACAGAGGACAACATAGGCATTTTAGGTTTGTCTGACATAACCTTCCTTTCTCTCAAGTCTTCTTTTGTCTGCACAAGTTACCAACTTGCTTCTGGGTAGAGTATGGTGCTGATTTTGACCAAGAAAGATGTCTGGTTTTAGAAATCCATTTTGTAATTGAGACCATTGGATAGCTCTAAGCAGCAGTTCTCAGATTCAAATTCCTGTAGATGGGGGGAAAGGAGAAAGTAAGGCTTCTCAAAAATGAGGACCGCTAGTCATGCTCTTCATGCAATATATGGACCCTTAATTTAGAGGGTTTTTGTTCTGAGATGGGAGATTGTCTTCAGGAGGTGATCAGTATCTCAAAAGACAGATCTCGGGTGTCATCTATGAAGGTGTCCCAATGCTGGAACTTGCCTTAACCACCTGCTTGAAAGCACCAAGCCTTCAGGGTGTACTACAAAGCCTGTGCACTCATTTATACACCAAATGAACAGCCTGGGCAAAGTACAGGAAAGTAGCATTCATTGTCTGCAGTCATATTAAAGTTATATTTTGACTCCTTTTTTTTATCTCTGACAATAACTTTCAGGGCACAGTCTTCCCAGCTGGAAACTATATTGGCTCTCCATACGTGGTAGCTCCCTTCACTATCACAGACCAAAGTGACTCCATGCTCTTCCTGGCCTTCTCTGAGTATTTTTTTCAGACCTCCTCATTTGCTTACTACACCGCAGGGGCCTTCAACATGACCATTGCAGAGGAGGTGAGTAGGACAGAGAGGAGTGGGGTCAGAGTGGCTCAGATAGAACTTTGACCTGCCAGATGTCAGTGTGCAGCCAGATAAAGCTGTTAATTGGTCTGCAGAGTCCTGAGACAGTAGATCATAAATACAAAGGTATTGTTATTCTCTTTTATTTATGCTTTATATAGAGGTCTCAGGCCACAGCCAGGTGTGCCAAGTTCAGCTGAGCAAGCCACAAAAATTTGTTACAAAAAATAAGGTTTTTATAGACTTGAGGCCTAGACTTCTCTGACGTGGACAAGGGATTGACTTTGGGGAATTTTGCAGCCTCAGTGGCTGTTTTTTGAGGGATCTTCGTAGAATAAAAGTATTACAGGGGCCATGGAAGGAAAGCATCTATCAAAGTACAGTAGCTGTGCATGGAGGCTGCCTGACTTGGCTTACCTGACTGCAGGAGGTTCAGTAAGTCCCAAAACCTACAGATTGTAGCCCATATTATAATGACATTAAGCATTTGCTTTCTCAGGAATTATTGTAGCATGTATTATTGGGAATCAGCTTTAAAGTATACTGAGTCTCTTAGGAATATTTCTGAGAGGTACAAAATCAAAGATTTATTGAAATGAGAGTAATAATGCATTTAGAGAAAAGCTTACCATGAAGGTCAAACTCATTTGTTTTCTCTCTTTTATTTTTTCTCCCAGACTTGCAGCTATTTTAATATAAGCACAGAGATATTTGGCAGTATCATTCCTGAGGTGAGTATCATTACTTCCACAAAGTCTTAGTAAACCACCCAGTGTGGGTGTCAAGACACCTCACTACTGGTGTATCCCAAAGGCTGTTAGGGCCAGCAGGGCTCCTGCACTAGAGAAGCTGGTACTTATATGCCTCATAACAGAAGAGCAGATGGGCCTTGTCCCTTCCCACCCCCATAATGAGTTGAATGACTTGCACTATTACCAAACATAATCTTGGCCCATAACCTTGCACATCAATCTTTACTCTGGGCACTGTGCCCAAGCCACAGCTGTTCCCACCTAAAACTATCTCTATGCAGGGAAAAGCTTTCAGTCATGAGTCCTGCTTTGAGAGACTTCTGAAAGGGCCTCAGCTCAGAAAGAACACCTTCCTCCTGTCCAAACCTGCATAAATTGTCTTTGCTTCACTGCTTTGCTGTGACTGACTAGCAGAAAGACCGTGTGCAGGAAATCCAGCTAACAGATGAGGAGGAAACATTACATCCTATGGAACAGACAAGGCAGATGCACAGGATTTCCATCTATTTTAGGTGGAGGAGACGAATATAACAGGACAGAGAATATGAGTATGCATGGCTTCCACCAGCCTTCTCAAACAGAATGAGAAATCAAAAATGAGCATAAGAACCCCTACGCTAAGAATGCTGAGGTTGGATGAAACCAGACTAATGGTTCAAAGAACTTCACATTCTTGTTTGCTTCCCAGATGTTATTAAGTTCCTGCCTCAGAAATATAAAATTCTCCAAGGGCACTCATTGTATGGTCTTCTCCATGAAATGCCATGAGCATTGATGCTAATATTCCACTCCTTCTGTTTTGAATAATGAACTTGGTGAGGCTATTAACTCTTCAGGCAATGCAAAGAGTGAGGATCCTAAGAGACAGGATCCTAAGAGAACAGTCCAGAGGAGGAATCAGAGGAGGAATCTGTCTCATGATATAGGTGAATTTCAAAGTGAATGACTCCTTAGCTCTTTTATTGTGTGACTTTAAATGTCACATTTGTGGTCTATTTCTCTCTTCTGTTCAAAAATCAGTATTTAATTTCTCTCAAAGTGATATAGAAAAATTTTTATTCCTCATTTTTATTCCTATGTGGACAAGATTGTTAATTTATCACCGCAGAAAACCTCTACTTCCTGCTTGCCTGAACAAACCTTGTGTTAGCAGCTATCCTTAATCTCATTTTAAGGAACTACTTCAAAATGATTGCTTCAAGAATGAGACAATGCAGTATTCTGTTCTACAAGAAGTGTATTTCTGTATTTTTTCTTTTTTTGTCCTGCAATCTTACAGGTAGCCAAATATTCAGTTACACCCTATCCAGTAATGTTGAAGCTACTGGCTACTGAAATACCTGTCATCAGCTTAGAGCAGGATTCCTTCACAGTAGAGATTCAGGGCTCCATGGAGGTGTTGGCTGTTCTGCCAGACTCAACCACCCAGTCGCTGTTCACAATAAACGTAGTAAGTACAAAGAACAAGGTGACATTTAACTCAGGGTTAAATATGTTTGTTCCTTCCTTCTGTTAAAACTTGTAGAAGTAACAAAGAAAACACCAAATATCTAGTACTTAAACATGCAAATTCCCCTTAGTCACAGGTGGTGACTGTGTGGCCTCGCTGAACTTCTGTGGCAGAGAACATTTTCCTATAGATGGACAAAAATCAAAACTCTCTGGCTAACCTAGGTTTTGTTCTCTGGAATGACAGTTCTGTGGGTATGAGTCATGCCTCTTGGCAACTTGTTCATGTCTTTGATTAGGGAAAGCTCATTACCCACATTTCAGCTCTTGTCAGTGCCATTTAGACAAACAGACATTTATTGGGTGCAGCCTTGCATTTACCTAAAACAGCTTCCATAGCTAAGTGGTATGGATGGTATTTATGTATTTGTGACTAATTCACAGCAAGAGTCCTGTTTTTTTTATGTCTGGTAACCCATGGTTTCTTTATTCTGCAGGCAGCCAACAGCAGCATTTCTCTGAATATATTTGATCAGAAATTGATGGGCTCACTATGTTTGAACAGGTAATTCAACCTGTGATGGAAAGAATTTCCAGGCCTTTGGAAAACACTGTTAGCAATCCCAACATTAGCCGTTTAGGCATATGATCAGATGAGTATGTTTCCCTGGTAAATTCATCTGGATTAGATTCTCTAATTCTGGCTGCATTTATACAGTTTAGAGGAGGCAGGAAGCTTCTCTGTGACAACTGCCATGTCCCAAGGGACTGCCCACCAGCTGTGGATTGCTGCAGGGGCGTGGTCTCACTGGACTTCTCTGCTTTTTACATCTACTCTCCCCTCTGAACTAGATAAATTAAGCGTGCAGGGCAGTTATGTTGACCACAAGTCATCTCAGTTTCCCTCATCATTTTCCAGCTGGCAAGATGTCACTGCTTTCTAGACCACCTGTGCTACTAAAGAACTTCAGAGCAGCCCAGGACACAGCAAAGAAACTGGGCCCCTGCAGGTCTCCTATGCCAATATTCTTAGAGCAGAGATTCACCAAATGAAGTCCTGCAACTTCCAAGGGTCAGAAAGCTGGAGACCAGAGGCTTGGACATTTAGATATCTAGCATGTCACACTTTATAGAGAGAAGCTCTGTATACCAGGACCTCACAGCTGGGAATTAGGACCCCAATTTCATAAAAGTCCCTCGGGAAGACAGTTATAGGGTTAAGAATACGTGGAGTTTGTAAGGGCAGAGAGATATTACGAGTTTAAGGAGGATAGTGCTGTTAGCAGTTTTTGCAGCAATTTTTAAAGACAAAAATCCAGAGTGTGCTGGAAGCTGGCCTTGAGACCTGGGGTGCCGGTGCTGTGGAAACTCTGAAATCTTGTGTTGGATACAAGAGTAACATACAGAATAAATATTTCAATTTGGAAACAGAGACATGCAGCAACAAAGTCAGCAGCAGCAGTACCATATGATGAACACATTTTTTCTCCCCACCCTGGTAAGACTCACATCAAAGCATTATGCAAATGTACCAAAATCCTTGCAAAATACCTGACATCCTACAAATCCTTGGTTAAATCAATTGTCAGTAGGATTTCCAAAACACAGCACAGAGGGAGAAGCACACTCACATTGCTGGCTACAGCCTTTCTAGCATGTTTTTGCATAGATGCTCAGCAATGCCCTAAGGAGAGCACGTCTTTCTCCATGCAACAGTATGCATTGCGTGAAATTGCTTCAAAAATCTCTTTACAGATGCTTTTGAGGCCTAGAGCTCTACAGCAATGACTGCACGTGAATAGAATAACTGTGTTTATCCTTTCTTAGTGACTTATCTTGTTTCACTTCTTTCCCTCAGGCTCCAGTTCTCCCTAGCCCACTCCAATGTCGGCTTTATTGAGGTAAGTGGATAGTTGAAGCTTATAGGAAATGTAAACCAAGAATATCAGTCATATGAAGGCTAAAGAGTAAGCAGGTACATTTTATCTGTATTTCTAAATTATTTGGCTTCATTCTCAGATGGCTCTTTTCCTGTCTTCTGGCAGCCACCTCTCTCTGTGGACTTAGAAGTATATTCTTGGGGGCAAGTTAGTGCTCTGCAAATGAGACATGCTGTAGTTCCCCAAACTGCAGAAAGCAGAGATCTCTCGAATCACCACGGTGAAACACGGAGCGGTAATCTAAGCTTTGGCAGCAGAGCAGTGTGCCATCTAATGGTCATACGGATGGCTGAGGTACAGGCACTCTATGCGCTGCAGTGGTGCTCATCACAGATGCTTGGAATTACAAAAGGGAGGGGGAGCCAAGGTACTTATCTCAGATGCCTGAAATAGTGCAGTTGTAGCTTGGCAGGGGAAAACCCTGCCTCCGCAGAGAGTCATTTTATTCTCAGTATAATCAATCAGTTCCGAGTAGCTGAGAAGAAAGGATTAAAACTGTTCTGGTCCTGCTTTGCTATTGGTGATAAATTATCTCACAAATAAAGGAAATAGACTGTTTTAAATGAAGACGTTGGCTAAGCATGTTGAAATCCATTTGCATTTTGCATCTCACTTCCTTTGCATCATTCCAAAGCCTTAAGAACCAAAGTTCACTTGAGTTTATGACTCTTTGAGGCCAAAAGAGATGAAAGTTAAACATGAGTCTACTAACTCCACCCAGGATTAGGGCACGACAGTTCTACCATCATCAGGAAGTGATGGCTAATTCAGTTTTCTTGTCTGTGGCAGATCTCGCTGCTGGAGAACATCCTGTCTTACATTTTACAGACTGAAGTAATTCCATCAGCTAATGGTAAGGATGTATATCAAAGCAGCAGCTAAAACCTTCCAGCAGAGTGGGTGATTCTAGGAACTCCTACTGACTTCCTGCTTAAGTTTCCAGTTCCCATTAGAGGGGAAAACGATCATCATCCTGTAAGCAGTGGAAGGGGGAGATTGATCTGCAGGGGTGTAGGTGCGCCCTTTCACGGGCACTATTCTGCAAAAAGAGCAGAAATTACTTGGGAACTCATAATTCATCTGCCTTCACCTCAGTCTAGGTGGCCCTGATGCATGAGGGAGAAGCATGTCTCTCTCATCTGCACACCTGCCTGGGGCTACCATGTGTGAAATGTATTCCCCTTTATTAGACCAGCACAGAGTTTTTGCCTCTCATAAATCTTATTTAAGGCCCTGGAGGGAGACATAACTTTGTGCCAGCCCTCTGTACTGGAGTGAACATCACCTTCCTTAGTTAATGGATACAAACAGGTTCTAATGATGCTAGAGCTGTATTAATGATCCCTCAGGGATCATTAGGGACGAGTCACTGAGTATGTAATGTGTTGAACATGAAACGCCTTGGTTTGGCTGCAACACTCTGCCAAGAGAGAAGCACCTGTAATCCTTTTTCCCCATTGGTAAATGAGCATCCTATCTACCTCCCAGAGTTGCTTGTAAAGACTAAGAGGTAGTTGTTGTCAATGACCAAGTCTCTGGATATACAGTGCTTTTGCAGGGCAAAAATGCATGAATAAATCACTGTCTCTTTTTTTTTTTTTTAAGCCAAACTGTCAAAAGGATTCCCTCTTCCCAATCTGGCCAATGTTACCTTGACGAGACCTCACATTACAATTGCACAGGTGAGATTTTGGCACTTGTGAAAGATTTTCCTTTATGAAAGGTTATCCCGGGGTTTTTTTCTTTTTTCCCCCCTTTTTTTGGCTAGGCATTTATTCACTTTTTTGTACCAGGAATTTGCTGCATTTGAGCTACTTAAGTAGTAAAAAGCCCTGGGTTTAAAACGAGATCTGTAATAATGGTAAAATCCTATTAGAAACAAATTTATCTTTCTTTGAGAGGAAAAGTTAGAACTGAATATATAACCATGGAATGATCAAATGCACAACTTGTTCAGCCTTGCAAGTTGCAATTCAGTGTAAAAACAGGTTTAATTCAAGTTTGGCCAATCACATCAAATTAGACTTATTGCTATCCACACAGTCCTGTTGAATAGTTGAAATATGAGAGTGAATTCCATTCTGTGCACCCAGGATGACTGGATTTTGTTAATAATTGGTGATAATGACTGAGGCTGCTAGTCAAAACTAGTTAGTGAGCTCTCAGAAAATATTTTTTTGCCTTCTGGTTACCTTTCTCCAAATCTAGCCCTTAATCTGAGCAAACAGAATGTTGCTAGACAATCAGTCAGTACAAGGGCATTGCTGACAACTGAACGCCCAGAAAATGGGTAAGCTTGTTATATTTCTCCACTTGTTTACCAACTTCTCAAAGTTATTGTCAGCTTAGCAGAGACAGTCTTAAATCTTTATTTGTGGTTAAGCACAAAACACAATTCAGGAAAGGAAATGCAAAGGTTGTCTTTAATTTTTCTTTTCATCCCATATCTGGTAGCAGCCAGCTATGCCATTCCCTACAAAATATAATTGCTTGGAGACTGCTTTCAATGGCTCTCATTGCCAGCAGTCTTATGGGCTAATTAGGAATGAAGGATTTTAGTGGTTCTGTGGTGCCTATTCCCCACCTTACTTTCTCTAAGCAGACTCCTTATCAGTAACTAGGAATGAGAGAGGACACAGGAGAATTGCTATGCTCTACCAATGTGAATGGAATTCCTATTTTAGAGCTACTTCTAGAAGCTTCCACGTCCAATCCCTGTCTATGTGTTACAGTCTATAGGAAGAAAGACAATTCTTCCCACTTTTCATAGATAGACTGGATGGGGCTTTTAGCAACCTGGTCTAGTGAAAGGTGTCCCTGCCCATAGCAAAGGGGTTGGAACAAGATGATCTTTTAGGTCCCTTCCAACCCAAACCATTCTATGATTTTATGACTGCGATGAGCTGCTCTTTGCATGTTCATTGCTCTGTATGCACAGACAGTGGAGAAAGCTTTAAGGACAAGTTTAGATTAAATGGCTAATTCTTAAGCAGCTCAGATTAGGTTAAAAATAATCCCACCTTGTGATGGTTGCCTAGTTGTCTCAAGCTCAGATGAACTTTTCTGGATAGGTTGTATGATCTTTAGATGTCCCTTCTGTCGCTAGCATGGTGCAAAGGGATAGCACCCAGGGAAAGATAGGGCCCTTTTGCAAATTTTTGCAAAGGATGGAGTGTAATAATAAACTTCTGACTTCCAAGGCTCAGCTGTTCTCAGTAGCTTTTCTGACCTTAAACACCAAGATAGATTTGAAATTTAAAAAAAACCAACCAAACAAATGAACAAAAAAATCATCTAAACAAAATAACACTTTCATTTTTAATTCACAGCATGTCAATGACTGTTCTTCTCCCCACAGGGATACATATTGATTTCAACTGATGTCCACTACAAACACTAAAGGACAAGAGAGACCATTTGTTGAGCATGAACTTCAAATCAAGTCAATAATGGGACTCTGAAGACTAAACAATGTCCACTTCTGCTGGAATGTGTAACTTGAGTTCTGACAAGGGCAATGTCATCCTGGCTGAGGGCAAGGGGGATAGATACCAGGAAGCAAAAAAAGCTGATGGAATGGTATAATGGTGGTAACAAACATAGCCAAGGGAGAACATGGGACGCATGCTTGACATTATTTATTCCGGTGTTTAATTGATGCAAAAATGTTTTTAAGATTCATGACTCTCTTGAAATACAGTTTTGTCTACAAAATGTTTCTGGGTAAGTCCTGTAAGTGTAATTCTCCAACATCTTCGTCAGTATTTCTCTGAACTGAAATAGTTACAAATACTTTTTTTCTTACTTCATTTTGGTATGTTATCTTACCCTCTTTCTTCTTCCTCCTTTTTTTCCCAATACTTTATTAGTGTGCAAATCTGAACAGAGTTCTGCAGAGGGACATGCCTGCCCTGCAATGCTTAGGTGCTTGTGCTTTGGCCAAACCCGGATGGGAAGCTGTCTCTGGCCTCCCAAACCAGCACTGACAAGGATGAAACAAAGGCAGAGGTGCCCATTCCCGCTCCGATCCGCTGCTTGTGTGAGCTTCAAACTACCCCTGCACAAACCCCCATCCACCTAGCAGGGTACCCAGATCCCAGTCCTCCCACCCTGAACAGCAAACAGCTCTTTCCCTCATGCTGAGAAACGCAATCGACGATGAGGTGCGGGCAGCTTCTGCCTGACTGGTGCTGAGTAAACTCATCCCATCTGCAGCAGAGCGGTACCTAAATACCCCACGGGCCAAAACTGCTGTGCCCCGGGGGAACACCTACGTGAAAAAACATTTGGGTTTTTTAGTTTTTTTTCCCTCCCCGCAAACCAGCCCGAAAGCCGTATTTAGTGTGAGGGAGGAGACGGCCAGGTACAAACCCGAACCCTGCGCTCCCTCTCACACCCTGGCCCGCGGGAACCGGGTGTCTGGCTCGGGCTGCTCCAGCTGCCTGGGAAATGGCGCGGCCACGGAGCTTAGCTGGGGGCCGGGCCAGCCCTCGACAGGGCTGAGGGAAAGAGGGAGGGAGGAAGAGAGGAGGCAGGACTGAGGCAGGGCTGAGGGAGGAGGTTTGAGCCTCGGCGGCTCCTGTTCGCCGCTGCCGTCGCGGATGAGGCGGCGGGTCCGCGTCAGTTCCTGCCGCCGCGCCGGTGCCGCCATCGGGAGCCGCCGCCATGAGCCGCAGCTACAACGATGAGCTGCAGTACCTGGACAAGATCGACAAGAACTGCTGGCGGATCAAGAAGGGCTTCGTGCCCAACATGCGTGTGCGTGGGAGGGGGCTGGATGCCCGGGGCAGGGTGCCTGGGGCAGGGGTCGGGAAAGGGGAGCGGGGCAGGGGCAGCCCGGCGGCTGACGGCTCTCCCCGCAGGTGGAGGGTGTTTTCTACGTGAACGACCCGCTGGAGAAGCTGATGTTCGAGGAGCTGCGCAATGCCTGCCGCGGAGGAGGTGGGTCCGGCAGGGCCCCCTGATCCGGGAGGGTGTCGTAGAGTCCACAGAATCAGTTAGGTTGGAAAAGACCTCCGGGATCATCCAGGCCAGCCTATGACCGAACGCCAGCATGTCCACTAGACCATGGCACTGCAGGCCAGGGCTGTGCTGTGTGGGGCTGAAGTGCAGGGATGGGTCCAGATCTGACAGCTGGGCTGGTGGTGACACACTGCTATTGTTAGTGCAGACTGCACTCCATCGGTACAAACACAACACGGGTTGGGCTTTGGTGTAATAAGTACCGCGTTTAATGAAACTGCAGATTGTGCATGTCACTGGGCGCTCTACACCAGATAAGAAGCCTTGTTGGTGACTGACTTCTAAATTGCCAGCGTTTTGAAGAACCTGTTTAGAAAGCGCTTCACTGTGATTATCATGGTAAGTTATCAGATTGTTTAACTTTTTTTCTTTTTTTTCTCTATTTCAGGTGCAGGTGGCTTCTTGCCTGCTATGAAACAGATTGGGAACGTGGCTGCATTACCTGGTATTGTTCACGTGAGTAACTGCTCTGAAAATTTACTCTTTTCTCTTCCGATTTGCCTGAAATTATTGCTTTCCAAAGGGGAACTGTTTTCAGAAGATATATGGACGAAAGTTCTTTTCAAGGCAGTTTGTGTGTTAAGAACCTGTCTCTGAGTAAACAGTGCTTGCAAGGGCAAGCTGCAAGACTAAGTTGTCAGAAAGGGAAGCATCCACTTACTTCACTACTTGTGTTTTGACATGAAGCTTTTTTAGCATTGCTTTATGCTGTTTCCTTTTGCTTGAGCCACCTTTCCATCAGTGTCCATATTGACTGCTTGTTGGTTTTCAATTGCCTGTGCCGACCTGGAATGCATGGAGGAGTGAGGAGAGAGCAGGAGGTGATACTGTTGTCTGTATTATTGTTGCTGACCTAACGTGGGTAGTGAGTCCTCCCATGCACTCGACACTCCTTTCCCTTGCCCCATGCCTTTTTGGAAGCAAAGTGTCAGATCTGATAATGCAGGAGGGAAATACTAGGCTGTGACTCTTTTCAGGAAGTGTTAAGTATGATGTGGTAATGATCTCTTTCACATTCAATATTGCAAATATTAATACGTAACAAATAACAGAATTGTTTTAATTGTCTTCCTTAGTCACTTGGCAGATGTTTTGAATTTATGGCTGCAGTAAAGGGCAGACCATCATGCTGTTAAAATGCCTTAGTGGTCAGCCAAAAGGGAGTAAGGTAGAATAGTAACAACCTGTTAAAATAGGAACTCTGGCTGGTAGTTTGTAGGAGAGATGCTGCAATCATTTGTGTATTCAAATCTTCACTTTTTATTTCCAAGCCAAGAGATTTATTGGTGATGGCAAGGGGAGGCAGAAGAAGCACAAAATCCCATTGAAAAGTTCTGGTTTTTTTAATGTATGGTAGCAGTTTAACACACATTGAAAAGTTAGAATTTCTAACAGCTTTCTGGGTGTCTGGGGCTTTTTTTGTTTGCTTAAATAGACTGCAGAGTGCTGTTTGTGGTGTCCTAATCTAAATTTAAAATGCCACAGCTCCTATCTTGTCCTATCCCATCAGGATCTCACTCAAAAGGTGATTTTTTCCTCCCTACAGGGTGCAGTCTTTCATCAGAGTTGATGACACAGATAAGGAGAGAAAATGCTGACTTTTATTTATTTCATAGCACTGAACTCTTCCCTTGTTATGTTTACAGTATTTAAATATTGCAGATGTCTCTAGATGAAACTCAGTAAAAATTAACTTATCTTCACTCTTATGTCTCTGCTTTATGCTGCTCAAAAGCTATTGCCTGCCTGAGTTTTGAATGCAAGGACTCTTGAGTACAAGAAAAGGCCAGATTAGAATTCAGTTTGAGATCACAATTCCTACATTTAGGTGCTTAAGCTCTTCCCAAATTTTTTTGAGATCTGGCCAATAGAGTCAAGAGGGCTTCTCAGCTGACTAGCCACAGGGTGTTTGCTTCAGAGTGAGATCTGCTCACTGCTTTCTTTGAGTGTCTGCCCTGTAAGTGCAGGAGTTCAGATACTCACCTGAGTTGTTGTGTTTACTCCGTCTACATCTGAAGATCCATTCTCTTTTTGGTATATTTGTTTTCAAATGTAATAACTCCTGCCACAAGGCAAAGCATAACCAAGGTAACTCTGCAGCATTGAGTTTCATAAAACTTTAAAATTGCCTTCATTCCCTTTCAGAGATCAATAGGCCTTCCAGATGTCCATTCTGGCTATGGGTTTGCCATTGGCAACATGGCTGCCTTTGATATGAGTGATCCAGAAGCAGTGGTTTCACCAGGTGAGGATGACTGACTTAACCTGCTCTGAGAAATACTTGGGATGGCATAAAAATACTTTTTCAAAATGGCAGGACTTCGCAATACTTCATGTACAGAACTAAAGCTAAAATATGAGAATTATAGGGGCTTAAGAGGTGCTTAATTCTTGCACTCAGAATCTTTATTCTTTATGGAGCGGGTGGTTGCACTGAGAACATCTAAACACTACAGGGAGAATTGCCCTTGCATTTGAAGCTTGGACTCGTGATATCTCTTTCTACTTTCTCTGGGCAGTGTATTTTATAGTTGTGTCTGCTTTTTGTCTCTACTTGTTGGAGTAACTTCATAAACAGAGAGCTATGTAGATACTTGTACAGCTATGCCTTGAAATCTGAGGCTTTATGTAAATCTGTTAAAATGAAGCCTAATGTAGTTCTGCCTTTTTTTTCCTAGTATTGTTTCAGAAAGAAGGTATGAGATCACAGTATTCAGTACATGCTCCCTGTCATGGCTTTTTCTACACTTCTAGGTGGTGTAGGATTTGACATCAACTGTGGTGTCCGCTTGCTGCGTACAAATTTGGATGAAAGTGATGTGCAGCCTGTGAAAGAGCAGCTTGCCCAGGCCATGTTTGACCACATTCCTGTTGGTGTCGGCTCCAAAGGTGTCATCCCCATGAATGCCAAGTAAGAAAATGACTTTGTGCACACATCACTAGAGGGGACATCTCTGTCTGTTTATTTTGATGAAAGATTCACCAGTGGGAGACTTTTTTAAAAGAAAGAGTAATTCTAAAAATCTTTCCATTCTTTCTGCGTATGGCTTTACCGGGACCGACATAATCATCAATGCACGAAGTCAACTTGCTCTTCCCCCGTTTAAACCCCTAAAATAACTAAAAGTTCTTGAAAGGTTCATATTTCTTCTGACAGAAAACTTCCATGAGCATAAAGGGTTTTTTTTGAAAGGGATGAGAGAGAAAATAGGATATTCCCCACACAATAAAGAGGAAAAAGTAATGACCTATCAAAAGTTAATATATTTATAGAGCTTGATTTTCATGAAGTACTAAGAAGTTGGACTGGTTGTTAGGAGAGCTAGGGGCTGATCATAACATCATAGAATAATTTAGGTTGGATGGGATCTCTTGAGGTTGTGTCATCCGACGCCTTGCATGAAGGAGGGCTAACTCTGAAGGTGGGTCTAACAACAAAGTTACGTC